GTCTATCCTCGATATACCGATATTCGATATACCGATATACTATTAAAAACTTGATATACCGATAAAATTTTATTTTCCCACTATATGTGAGGACATATAAATATCGGTATAACTTAGACATAACGATATTTTCTAAAAATTTTATATATGTCCCGACATATCGTTATATAAAGGGTTGATTGTATTACGGTTAAAAAAATAAAAATAAAAATATTACTAATCGTAAAAAGAAGAGCGATATTGTTAAATTGTCTATTATTACTTATTAATATTAGCCAAAACTTCAATTACCAGAAACTAAAAAATAATCAAACAGCCAAACAGCCAATCAAATAATATTCTAACTTAATATGGAATAGATTAGGTGCGGCAGAGATTAGGCGCGGCAGATCATGTGTTTCATATTACACAATTCAAATTATTTATTTTTTTTTTTTTTATTTTTTAAAATAGTAACGCGTTTTATTAATTATTTAGAATTGCGAAACAATTACATAATTAAATATAAAAAACACTTAGAGCAAAGCAAAAATTTATTTTTGCTAAACCCTATAACTAAGTAATTTACGAACAAAAAACAAAAAAATAAACTAAACTACTTTATCCTATGTTATACTAAACTATAATTATGTAACATTTTGTCTATTCTAATAGTATGGTAATTTGATTATCGTATCCCAATTTTTATCTATATTGATGCCGTCCGTTATCGCACCCATTAATTTTCCTAAAGTTACTATTTTAATTTGGTTTTTTATATTATTTTCCTTGGTTTTTTCTAAATTTTCTGTTGTTTTTTTATTTTTACTATTTTCTGTTTCTAAAAGTTTATTCTGATGGCCTTCTGGTTCCTGCTTCTTTAGTCGTAGATCGGATTTCTTTATTTCCTCTTTTTTTTCCAGTCTTTCAATCTCATCACATCGTGGAATCCAGATTCTTTTCTTTATTTCGTCATATATGAAATTCCAAAGTTCTTTTATAACCGCTTTTTCTTCTTTGATTTTTGATATGTTGCTAAATTTATCGTTATAAACTCCTCTGATCAATTCCCATTTTCTACTCTTTTCTCTTAAAATTAGTGAAGGACTTTCGAGTATAGTCAGAAAGTTACAAACATGATTTCTTATTATTTCTAATTCTTTAACCTTGTTTTGAGCTTCTAGTTCTAATTCAAATTTATACGGTGATTCTCTTATTATGTCATCGATCGAAATTTCGTTATCTTCACAAATCCAAACATGTTCCCAATCTTCTTCTACTTTTTTCCCGCACCTTATACATTTTGGTGAATCTATTTTATTGGTATTTCTTTTGTATAAGGTTTTATATGTAGGAAGTTCTTTCAACATATTCTTGATCCTATACGAGCGATCTATCGTATCTTTATCACCGCATTGTCTTGATGAGAAGGTTATTCTATTACTTATAAATTCCAACGTTGTAATCCAATCAAATTCTTTTTTATAATTATATACAAATAAATCATCTAGTTTAACACTGTTTAAAATTTCGTTCTTCCAAACAATTCAAATTATTTATACTTATACACGGTAAGATATTTTTATCTATCATGTGCTTGATGTTTATCTGTACGTGCTTCTGATGTTTTATCTGTACTTGATAAAATTCTTTTGGAATTTTTTTTTTTTTTTGATAAAAAATTTTGTTAGAGAATTTTTTTATTGATAGGGACATTTCAGAGTTTTTTTTTCGATGGATAATTTCGTTAAAAAATTTTTATAATAAGATCTTTTTTTGGACATACCTAATTTGTTGGAACAATTTTTTTTAACAGGATTTTTTTTTTGATAGAGAATTTCGTTAAGAATTTTTTTTTTTTAATAGGAGGGAGTTTTCCTTGATAAAGAATTTCTTTTGGGAATTTTTTTTAATAGGTGAAAGTATTTTTGATGGAGAATTTTATTAGGGAATTTTTTTTAATAGGGGGATTGTTTTTGATAGAGGATTTTATTAAAGAATTTTTCTTTAATAGGAAGATAAATAGTTTCGCTGAGAATTTTTTTTTTGATAGGAATTCTTTTGAGAATTTTTTTTAATAGGTAAGAATCTTTGAATTTTTTTTTAATAGGGAAAATGTGTTTTTTGATGGAAGATTTTTGTTAGAAATTTTTCTTAATCGGGGATATTTTTTTTGATTGAGAATTTTATTAGAGAATTGTTTGTTGAAAATTTTTTTTTTATTTTTTTGATAGAGAACTTTGTTTAGAAATCTTAATAGAAAATTTTATTGAAAATAGTTTTTTTTTAATAAGGGTATCGAGAATTTTGGCTTGAAATTTTTTTTTTCTAATAAAGAATTTCATTAGAGATCTTTTTTTATAAATTAAAAAAATATTAAATTACATTAATAAGATTAAAAAAAACTATGATAGAATCCTAAATAGCATAGTAAATTAAGCAAATTTTATATACTAGTAAAGCTTCGCATGAGCCGAGCCGGCTTGCAAGCCGAGCCATACTTAATAAATTGGCTTGATCCAGCTCGAAAAGCTCGAGCTGGCTTGCCTACAAAGTAATAAAATAAAAATTAATCATTAGTATTTTTTTTTTGTTTGTTTTATTTGTTTCATTTTAATAATTTCAGATTTCTAGAATTTATTTTTATGGTATTTCTTTTAAAAAATTTATCTTAATTTATTTAATAATTTTCTTTAGTTTGGTATTTTTTGATTCCATTTTTAACTTTTAATTTTTAGCATTTTTTTTTTAATTTTAATATTTTTTTACAAATTTCTTATTATATAATCATATAATATTCATATATAACATAAATTAAAAAGTTTTTAAAATAATGTTAACTTTAAAAAAAGTATATAGCAGAAATTTGTTTGAAGTGTTTTTTCTTTTTATCATTAATAATAATTAAATAATTGGCATAAAAACATTTTTTGAAAATCTACTATTTTTAAATACTTTGAATATATATAAATAAAAATTGGGGATTGCTAAACATCGCCTGGGTTTTTTTTTCATCTAATTTTTGATCGGTTATTATTGCAAAAAAAAGATTTTTTTAAAAAAATTTTTTGCAAACATATTTATTCAAAATAATCTTATTTAGTGAAATTTTATTTGCAAATATTAAAATTTAAGTCACACATTTACGATTTTAAAGAAAAAAATCACCATATTTATTTTTATTGAAGTGTACAAATAAAAGAAACAATAACAATAAATAAAATGATAAGTAAATTACAATGATCAAGGAGAAAGATGCTAATAAAAAAATGAAATAACAATGAGTAATGGAAAGTAATAGAATATGAAAGGGAGTAAAAAAGAGTAATGAGAAGTGATAGGAAACAAAAAGGAGAAATAGGACATGATGAGAGATGAAAAGGAGTGATGGGAGACGAAGAGGAGTGATGGAAGATAAAAAGGAGTAATGGGAGACAAAAAGGAGTGATGGGAAGATGAAGAGGAGTGATGGGAGATGAAGAGGAGTGATGGGAGATAAAAAGGAGTGATGGGAGACAAAAAGGAGTGATGGGAAGATGAAGAGGAGTGATGGGAGATGAAAAGAAGTGATAGGAGACGAAGAGGAGTGATGGGAGACAAAAAGGAGTGATAGAAGACGAAAAGGAGTGATAGGAGATGAAAAGGAGTGGTGGGAGACGAAAAGAAGCGATGAAAGATGAAAAGGAGTGATGGGAGGCGATGGGAGATGAAAAGAAGTGATGGGATGATGAAGAGGAGTAAAAATTTATTAAAATTGTAAAATTTAATAAAAAATTTTCCAATAAATTTTCAATCAATTTTTTATAAAAAAAAAGATCTCTATAAATGAAATTCTTTATTAAAAAAAAAAAAATTTCAAGCTAAAATTCTCGATACACTTATTAAAAAGAAACTATTTTCAATAAAATTTTCTATTAAGATTTCTAAACAAAATTCTCCATCAAAAAAATAAAAAAATTTTTCAACAAACAATTCTCTAATAAAATTCTCAATCAAAAAAATATCCCCGATTAAAGAAAATAAAGATTCTTACCACCTATTAAAAAAAATTCTCAAAAGAATTTCTATATCAAAAAAAAAACTCCTCTCCTATTAAAAAAAAAAAATCTTTACCGAAATTCCCTATCAAAAAAAAAATATCCCCTGTTAAAAAAATTCACTTCACGAGTTTTGAAATTTCTTTGTCAAAAAAGACACATATCTGATCGTACAAGAAAATAGCACCTGAAAGATACGGTGCATATTGTTGGCTTGTTGCATAATTTGATCGTATAAGAAAATAGCACGTGATCGTATAAGAACGATACATTTGCAACTTTGATATAAGCTTTTCTCTTAGTGGTGTGTTGCCAACCTATTCTGTATTAAATAAGAGAGGAGTAAACGGGATAATAAATCCAAGATGTAAAACAGTTAGTGAAGACTGGGACCATGAGGATTTAATTAAAAGATCAATTTGTGAGTACGAACAAAAGCTTTTAGAAGAAAACAGAAACGAGGAGGTAAACATTTTGAAAGAGATAATGTTTGATTTTATTAGAATTTTGGAGCAACCGTCACTAGTCCTCATTGGGAAAAAACGAGAATGGGAATTATTGAGAGGAGTATATAATGAAAACTTCAATAAAATCTCAAAGAAAAGGGATATTAGAAAAGTTATCGAAAATCTATGGATCTATTGCTACGAAAATATAAGGTCAAGGATATTAGAAAAGGATGTGAAGTAGTTGCAGATATAGAGAAAGAACAAGGATTAGAGAAGGAGTTGGAAAAAGAAAAATATTAGATATAGAAGACGAAGGAGAAGAAGGGAATAATAAAAAAAGTAAATTTAGAAAAACAAATGAAAACGATAAAAATCAAAAAAAAATTAAATAAAAGAATTAAATTAGTAACGAAAGATAGAAGCATCTCGATTAAAAATAATTGGCATACTATAATACAATTAGCTTAGGTAGGCTTAGGTTATATTAATAGATTAGATAGGTAAAATTTTAGACTAGATTGGACTTAGTTATAGAGGGTATTATAAGTTATTATAATATTTTCTAGGTGTTTTGATAATTTTGTCTTAGTGGTGTAATAAGAGACATGTGATAAACATATGATAATCATCATGATAGAAAAATTATTCTATCATAATATCGTAATATCGTAAATAACTTTTACATAATCAAAACATGGCTTCATGATGGGTTAGAATCTTAGCCAATCATGACACATTTTTTTTGAAATTGTACATTCCTTCAATTTATTTAAGAAAACTAATCCATAAACAATGATACATATTATTTCTAATATCACATATATCACATTTTTTCTATCATAATGCACAAAAAAATTATTTATAAGAAGCGGATGGGATCTTTTTATTAATAATCGATTAAGATTAGGATTCTAAACTCTGAATCTATATTCTAATACATTATTACTCTTGGATTCGGAATATAAATTTACGACCATTTTTTAAGATTTCTGCTTCAGTCTGAACTTAACCCGAAAAGAAAGTTTCTTTATTCCTAATTCGTTTAGTAAAATCTAACCAAAAATGATATATATATATATATACTGTATATTACATCGTACAAAAAATGCAGGACAGGAAAAAAATAACAGCCATTTTTCTATACTATTCTTAACAGTTAACATCATATGATTGACTTTACGTGAAATTTTGACTTATGAGCGATAAATAGTGACCAGTAAATATTTCCACAATTTTTTTTAACCGAAAATGTCGAGTAAAGGGTATGAAACATGATCAACAAAACAATAACAACACTATAGTATAACATATTCTTGAAAGACATAGTAAACAAATAATTTATTAATTTAGTCTGGAAAAGGTTAATTCTTAACTGTATAACAATATAACTTTCTTCAGCTTTGTATGTGGTATTAACTGACTTAGTGGATACCCGTTAAACAATTTAAATCTGCCATTTGCAAATTTAAATTATAAGTAGATTCTAAATATAAAGGAACAATCGAATGACTTCTGAATTATAGATTTTTTTCTCGTTTATATTCTTGTTAGTTATCTCTTGTCTCCCAATTAGTAAATTGTTTGATTTTGGCATAATAATGTTTACGGGACCGTACCTATTGCGGAAAACAAATCTCGTCGGTTTCTTTTATGGTAATATTGATAACATGTATTTACCATTATCTGTATTGTTCAACTATTGTTCTTTAAATTCTAATTGTGGGAAATTAATAGTCTGTAACACGCGCGCGACTTTTGCATAATTCGTGATTTGAGGCGATATTAAATCGCCCTTTTTTTAAATATGACCTCTCCCATTTCAAAATTTTCCAATTGTCTTTTTTATCGAAGTATGTGTTTAATTATAGGATTGGATGTTTTGTTTAATTTTTTTCTTTTTCATTCTTATTGACGCTTTATCAATTATATTGTTTAGATATGACTCCTCAACATTGTTCGGAAGTTATTGAAGATTTCGAAAATGCTTTCGAAAATGAGAAATATTGTGACGTGATTATCATAGCCGGAGAAGATCCTGATATTAAAGAACTCCGAGCAAATTCATTTGTACTTCGTGTTAGATGTTCGTATTTTGAGAGAGCATTTTCTAACGATTGGGAAGAAAAGAACGACGATGGCAATTATGTTTTCAAAAAGCCAAATATCGCTTCAGAAGTATTTCAATTAATTCTCAGGCAAGTAAATAATAATTTTTTTTGCTTATACCTCTTTATTTATTTATAATTTTCCCAAATTAAATATATCTATTAAATAAACCATTCATTTTCTTTCTTTTAGATATTTGTATACAGGACTTATAGATTATGAAAATCACAATAAAGAAGTGATTTTGCAATGCTTAATTGCGGCTGACGAACTGGGATTGAATAAATTAATTGAACATATCCAGATATATTTGATTGATAACGAATATTTGCGTAAGGATCCCGTTAGCACACTTCAAGTCACTTACAAACATGAACCATTTGAAGATCTAAAAAATTACTGCTTAGACATTATTAGCGAAGAGCCAAGAATACTTTTTTCATCTGAAAAGTTTCCCTCATTGGAAAAACCAATTATTACCATGATACTTCAAAGAGATGATCTTAATATGGAAGAAATTGATATATGGGATTCTTTTATTAGATGGCTTTTTGTTCATTATTTGAAGATTAGCAAAGATGATTCTTCGTGGTCATCAGAAGATTTGAGTAATGTCAAACTGGCTTTAAAAGAATTTATTCCGTTAATCAGGTTCTATGATATTTCCAGGGAAGACTTTTATTTAAAAGTATATCCGTATAAAGATCTCTTGCCTCAAGATTTGCTTAGTGATATCCTTCGATATCATATGGTTCCTAATTCTACTCCAATGTTGAATTTCAAATCTACAAGGATTCGCAAAGTTGATTCTGTTTTAGTGAATTTTAATGTATTTAAGCTTTTTATGAAGTGGATTGAAAAAAAAGATAATAATTATAATGGAAAAATCGCGCCATTTCAATTTATTCTCCTTTTACGTGGGACAAGAGATGGATTTGATGCTTCAAAGTTTCATCAATTATGTGATAGCAAAGGCGCTACAATTTCTTTTGCAAAAATTCAAAATTCCAAGCAAATTATTGGTGGTTATAATCCTTTGCACTGGCAACAGAATAGTACATACGCAAGTACAAATGATAGCTTCTTATTTAATATACCAAATACTGATACTCTTGGTTCTGCTAAAATAAGTCGTTGTAGTAATCCTAGTAATGCAGTATATTATCATCCTAGTTATGGTCCAACTTTCGGTAATGGACATGATTTGCGTGCACAGGGAAATGTCTGGTATACTAGTAATGGAAATGCGTATCCTAACATCAACTTGTCAAACAATTTTACGATTGATGAATATGAAGTATTTAAAGTTGTAAAAAAGGGTAATAAAAGTTGAAGCGAATTTTTGATGCGTTACTTGGTTGATGACCGGTCATTATACGAAAAATCTCGTGAACGGTTCTTGATGAAACACGTGATTAATAAATAAATAAAATTTTTATATATTTTATGTTAGTTTTTTTGTTACATTTTAAAATAAATTTCTATATAATAAATGAATCAATCAATAAAGTGTCATATGTGAAACATCGAAAATATTAATTTTATAAATTAACATTCTCACATTCTTTGAAATTTTGAGTTAATTACTCTTGCCCTAATATGTATAGTAGCAAATGCAATGTTTTAATGTTTTTATGATTGTTATTGTGGAATCTACAGATCATGTGAAAATACCTGTTATTTATATACTTGAATAATTTGATTAATTGCTCTATTGTTATTCAATTTAAGAAATGGTATAATTAAAATGTTTCGACGTGTAACTGAGGCCAAATAAATGATGAAAACTTTCATCATAAATAAACAATTAATTGATATTTATTGAAATATTGCTCTTTACACTTCTTTAGTATGAATTTCGCTCTTGTAACTTATATTACTAACATCCAATTAAGGGATTTTTTCGATTTTTTCTTAAAGTTATTCGCTATTTTATATAATACTCTTATCTTTTCCGAATTTTATTATTACGCGGATATGTCATCATCTCATGATTGTTTAGAAGTTATTCAAGACCTTGAAAAGGCTCTTGAAAATGGAGATGATTATGATGTAATCATTAAAGCTGGAGGGAGTAGCAAGGAACTACGAGCTCATTCATTTATGCTTCGTGCCAGATGTTCATATTTTAAAAGAGCATTATCTAGTGATTGGGAGGAAGTAGACGGCGACGGTAACTTTATTTTCAAAAAACCAAATATCTCTATTGATGTGTTCCAATTAATTCTCAGGTAATCAAGTAATATTGTTCTTTACTTCTTTTAATGATAATTTTGCGTGCTTATCACTTTCATGATGTTTAAAAATTTTCAGATATTTATATACCGGAATTGTTGATTATGATCACAGCAAAGACATAATCTTGCAATCCCTTATCGCGGCTGATGAACTAGGATTGGATAAATTGGTCGGACGTATACAAGAATATTTGTTAGAAAATAAAGAATTTATATATAAGGATCCCGTTAGCACACTTCGAGTCATTCACCAACATGAACCATTGGAAGATCTAAGAAATTACTGTTTAGACATAATTAGCGAAGAACCAACAATTCTTTTCTCGTCCAAAGAATTTCCATCATTAGAAAAATCAATTATTACCATGATACTTCAAAGAGATGATCTTAATATGAAAGAAATTGATATATGGGATTCTATTCTTAGATGGCTTTTTGTTAATTATCTCAAGATCGGCCAAGATGACTCTAGGTGGACATTAGAAGATTTAAAAAATGCTAAACAAATTATAACCGAATATATTCCGTTAATGAGATTCTATGAAATCTCTAAGGAAGATTTTTACTTAAAAGTGTATCCGTATAAAGATCTTTTGCCTCAAGATTTGATTGATGATATCCTTCGATATCATATGATCCCAAATGCTACTCCAATGTTAAATTTCAAGTCTCCTAGAGGTCGCAGAGTTGATTCTGTTTTAATTAATTACAATATATTTAAGCTCTTTGCGAAATGGATTGATAAAAAAGATGGCGATTATAATATGCCATATCAATTTACTCTCCTTTTACGTGGAACAAGAGATGGATTTGATGCTACAAAGTTTCATCAATTATGTGATAGCAAAGGAGCTACAGTTTCTTTTGCAAGAATTAAGGATTCAAAGCAAATTATTGGCGGCTATAATCCTTTACATTGGTATCAGAATAGTCAATATGGTAATTCAACTGATAGTTTTTTGTTTAAAATAATAGATAGTGACAACCTTAATTCCGCTCAAATAAGTCGTATTTGTAATAGTCACGGCAACGCAGTATACTATCACCCTAGTTATGGTCCAACTTTTGGTAATGGGCATAACTTGTGTGCACAAGGAAAAACCTGGTCTTCTAATAATGGAAACGCTTATTCTAATATTGGCATCCCAAGTAGTTTTACGATTGACGAATATGAAGTATTTCAGGTTACAAAGAAAACTTAATTTAAAAAATTGAACTTTTGAATTTTTTATTATTTAATTTGAGATTTTGAATTCGAGACTTTTATATGTTTAAAATTAAAATTTCTTAAAGACCAGAATCTAAATGTTCCATCTACAGTATGTACTTCTATGTCTTTGACATACATAAAATTCTTTCAAAGTGATTAAAAAATACCTGTTACATGAAACATTAATCGTCTTTTTTTACGATTATAATATAATAATTCACATCTTTTTATTTTATTAATAAAATTCATGGTTATATATGTTTGAATATCGTAATTTTTATTTACAATATTTATATTCACGTATTTATATGTACAGTCAGCTCTCATAAATGCACCTCCTCGAGACCGTGCATTTAGCGTGCATTGTTAATCAATAACTATTCATTTATTATTAAAATTAAAAATTAATAGTAATCGTCAAATAACAAAGAAATTTCGTCAATATTCAAAAAAAATCTGTTCAGGTCGCACAAATCACGCGTGTTGGCGTGTGCATCTTTGGTAGCACCGTAACAGTGTATCACGTGCTACACGATTGCACGTAAAAACCTAGGGGTTAAAAACATTCTCGATTGGTAGCTACTCGCGTTATTTGTCACACTATGACAAAAAAGGTAAATCTATGTTGATAAATGACCTTTTGTAGAAATTATATTTTTGCTTATATATTGCATTTCTCCCTGCGTTGTTGTTTTTCAAGCCAATTTTCGGTTTCTTTCGGTTTCTACTGTATTTTATGCGGTAAGTTGTTTAATAACGATAATAAAAAAATTATCTAGCTTGCAAAGCTGAAGATAATGATGAAGGTTTATAAAAATGAAAGAAAAAAGTCGCGTTAGTTTATTTGTGTGACCTTAATTAGTGAATTATGAGATCATTATTATATTCCTAAATAAATATAAAATAAAAGACCTTTTCACTCATTTTAAAGTTACTTGTCTTTATATCATCTAGATATCATGTCAATTCATTATTGCTCAGAAGTTATTCAAGATCTTCAAAAAGCCTTTGAAAGCTGTGATGATTACGATGTAATCATTATAGCTGGAGAAGATCAGCAAGAAATTTTTGCTCATTCATTTGTACTTAGTACCAGATGTTCATATTTTAAAAGAGCATTATCAAATGATTGGGAAGAAAGGGATGATGATGGTAATTACATTTTCAAGAAACCGAATATCTCTTTTGAAGTGTTTCAATTACTTCTCAGGCAAGTAAATATTAATTTTAATTATATTGTTTATTTATTCTAACGACGAATAAAGATCTAACTAGTCACTTGTTTCCTTTTATTAATCATAATGTTTAGGTATTTATATACAGGAATTATAGATTATGATCAATACAATAACGAAGTGATTTTGCAATGCTTAGTTGCAGCTGATGAATTGGGATTGAACAAATTGAATGAACATATCCAGGAGTATTTGATTGATAACGAAGAATATTTGCATAAGGATCCAGTTAGCACACTTCAAATCGTTGGTCAACATGAACCATTCGAAAATTTAAAGGATTACTGTTTGGAAGTTATTAGTGAAGAACCTAGAATTCTTTTTTCGTCTGAAAAATTTACGTTATTAGATAAATCAATTATTACTATGATACTTCAAAGAGATGATCTTAATATAGAAGAAATTGATATATGGGAGTCTCTTCTTAGATGGCTTTTCATTCATTACTTGAAGATCAATAAAGATGAATCTTCATGGTCATCAGAAGATTTGAGTAATGTCAAACAGACTATAAAGGAATATATTCCGTTAATCAGATTCTATGATATCTCCAAGGAAGATTTTTACTTAAAAGTATATCCATATAAAGAACTCTTGCCTCAAGATTTGCTTAGTGATATCCTTCGATATCATATGGTTCCAAATGCTACTCCAATGTTGAATTTCAAGTCTTCTAGGAATCGCAAATTTGATTCTGTTTTAGTGAATAATAATATATTCAAGCTTTTTATTAAATGGATTGATAAAAAAGATAATAAATATATTGGAAAAAGCACTCCATATCGATTTATTCTCCTTTTACGTGGGACAAGAGATGGATTTGATGCTCCAAAATTTCACCAATTATGCGACGGAAAAGACGCCACAATTTCTTTTGCAAGAATTAAAGATTCAAAGCAAATTATTGGCGGCTATAATCCTTTACATTGGTACCAGAATAGTACATACGCAAGTACCAATGATAGCTTCATATTTAATATAACAGATATTGATAACCTTGATACTGCTAAAATAGGTCGTTGTAATAATCCTAATAATGCAGTATATTATCATCCTAACTACGGTCCAACTTTTGGTAATGGGCATAATTTGAACGCACAAGGAAATAACTGGCATACTAGTAATGGAAACGCGTATCCCAACATCAACTTGTCAGGTAATTTTGCGATTGATGAATATGAAGTATTTCAAGTTGTAAAGAAAATTTAATATAAAACGAAGGAATAGTTCAATATTTGAATAGTTTAAAAATTTTATATCTGATATGTTTTATAGACTTAAACAGTTATAACTCTGATTTCATTAATAAAGGAATTTTATTATACTATATCTTTCATTAATCTTATGTTTTGTTCTTGAACCACGTGTTTGATATATCGACTTTTATTTTATTGGATTTTTTTGGATATGTAATTTTTGTTGGTATTTTTCGCTATATTATAACTAGTGAAGGAAAAATACTATTATGTAAAAAACTATTATCTGAAAATGCTTTCATAATTTTTTTTTTTTAACGAATTTAATTATTTGTAATTGCGTTAACAGTTTGATAATTATTATTAAATAGATATAAAACAGATAAAAATTTTTATATTGAAAGTTTCTCTGATATTGCCCGTCCCGAACGTTTTAATTTGTAGTTTATATAAATCAATTTTTACATTCAATTCAGAAGCGTTATTTTTGTTTCTGAAATCTTGAAAAATTTCCAAAATTTTCGGTGCTTCATAAATCGTAAAGAAAAAAGAGAGTTACAGCACTCAATATTCCCAGGCTGTCCCCAACCGTAGTACTGACTGGGCCATCAATTCGGCACTTTCCACTGTGCATGGCATGGCCATAACTTGAAAAGGAGTCCAAATTTATTTATTTAAAAATTTCATATTATGAGATCAATTATATAATATTTTACTAATCATCGATCTACTGTGAAAAAAAATAATTTTTTTTAAAAAAATTACTAAACCTCAACAAATCAATTTTTTCCAAATTTTGATTCAAATATAAACCTTATGAAAACGGATCTTACGTTATTTATCCTTAAAAATCGTCTCATATAATTATATTAATGAATTAAATATTATTTTTAACACATTTTTCTCGTTAAAAATACGTTTCAGATCTTATCTAAACGAATATGTTTAATATGTTTTGAATTTTGAAATTATTATTTATTATTTATCTATTTTACGGTTCAAATGAAATTTTTTTTTTGAATATTTATAATTTTTTCTCACCAACTAATGTCGAAAAATTTATCTCTGTTTAAAAAAATGTCCTAAAATCTAATTTTTTTTCCCCGGTACCCGGTATATAACGTTTGATACTTTTGAATTTTAATTTCATTTAAAAAAAAAATTTTTTTTTTTTTATTATTCATTGTCCCGGAAGGAGAACACTATATTTTTACACACTTTGTAAAAACTTCAGTCACTGTCCAATCGTACTTGATCACGTGTAATTAATAGCCTCTTTTTGTTACTTAATTAAACAATTTATATATTTAAAAACAGGTTTAATAAACAACATAATTCGTTTTCTTTACTAAAATGTTAATTGTTAATTCATACAAAAAAAAATTTTGATTATTAAAATATCCATTGTCAATTCATAGAAAAATTATTATAATTTATATTGTATTTGCTTTTTTATAAAAATAATCACATAGTATAATTTTTTTTTTATTCACTTTTTTAAAACTTTATTTCCAGATCTATCATATTTATATTTTTTTTTTTATTAATAAATAATAATTAATCAATAATAAAATATATATATAAATTTTCTTAAGAGAAAAAAACAATAAATCTTTAAAAAATGTATTTTTTTAAAAAAATTAAAACCTGTTGATAATGATGAACTTTTGGTGTTAATCCCTATATGATAACTCAATGTCCCTGACACGTGATGTATTTGTATAAAATGATTATCCGATTAGATATTTCAAAAAAAAAAAAAAAAAAAAATATTTAATTTCTTTACTTCGTTAACCATTACAAAGAAAATGTCACCAAGTTCTTTACAAGAAAATTTTGAAATTATGCAAACTTGTCACTCGAAACTCGATCGAAAGAGGTGATCATGACATACTAAACGTCATAGAATTACAATTAGAGCGTCTTGCATTATTACTTTCTATGTATTCAAGAGTTCGACAATTTTAGATGTTACCTATCAAATAAAGTTGAGTGATATTTATTTTGTAATTAGGAGATTATATCAAAGAATTGAAATTTTAAATTGTGATTCAAGTTCTGCTAAAAAAATTTATTAGAAAAGTAAAAACAGAAAGTAGACCAAAGATTGTCAGATATAAAGATGTCATCAAATTATTGAGACAGTTTGAATATAATTGAACCGATATAGCAAATACATTTCCAAGAACTTTAAATAGAATAAGAAAAGACAATAACAAGTTAAACGGGAAAATCCCTTTTTTGGATAGATAATGACAATGAATCAAGAGGTATTCAAATTATAAACGTTTAAGAGAATCTATACATAGAGTTGATGCATTTGAAGCAATTACACGGTGGACAGAAATTAAACCTCGTCGTACAGTACATACCATGTTGCAAAGCAAATGCCTGTGAGCTGTGACATGTGGATGATAAGTTAATTCAATGAAAATTCGTCATTCATGCAGGAATAGATGGATTTCCAGGTTGATTGCTTGTGTGCACTGTAGTGATAACAATCGATTAGATACTACTCATTTTAAAGGGGCATGTAATTATTTTGGTACACCTAGTCATGTCCGGGCAGATCGTGGTGGAGAAAATGTAAAATGTTAAAATTCAACGATATATGAATGCCTACCGAAGTGAAAATTGTGGAAGATCAGTTCATAATCAAAGAATTAAACGTCTTTGGTAGATTTAGTATAAAACTTTTTGCTTCTATTATTGTATTTTTACCACGAATTAATCAGGATTTATTAAAATGGAAAGCATCAATGGAATGTCACACTGAAAATCAACAAACTCCTATGCAATTATATACCAAAGGAATGATTCAATATGGATTTAGAGGGATGGAAGAAGAGATTGTTAATCCAAATGATTATGGAATTGATTGGGATGGGCCGATTTCAAAAAGTAATGATGATGTTAATGTAATAGTTGATGAACCTAAACAGATAATCAATATAATCTTTTACAATCTTTGTTAAATTCATTAGAAGAAAATATTTAATAAAAAACTGTAAATCCCTTTCCCTTATTCCCTCGCTCTTTCCCCTGATCAATGTTGCTGCACCTCAACGTTGGTGATCAGGTGACAACAAGTTTTTTAAAAAGGCTTGGCTAAGTCAGCAACAAATATTAATGATTTGTTAGCTCTTATTAAATATATATATACTGTATATAACTATAAATTAAAAATAAAAGTTTTATTTAATTTCTCATCTATAATAAATATTTTGATTATTCAATTTTTAATTTTCGCTCAAAGATTATTAATTAGTAGATCTAAAATTTATCAAGTTTCCTTTGATTAAAAAGACTAATGCGTATTGTATACAAAAGTTAATTCTAACTTTAATTAAACATAGGGCAATTGTGACAACTAGCAACAATATTAACATTCAAGTTGGTATCACTACTTGGTCTTTAGCCTGATTGGGATCCCAAATCATTCTTTGTAATAATAATATAAATATTCAATAATTTAATCACATGAATATTTATTGTCAATAGTTTTAAACGTAAAATTTATTATCAACAAAATGGGTTTATTTTTATAAAATAAAATAAAAAAAAATAAATTCTTTATTGAATTAAATATAAAAGGCAATAGTCTGAACTCAGACCAAAAATATCGATCTTGGACTGAGTCTGTCCATATATCAGGATCAATAATTCTTAGGACTCTAACGGACGGACCTTCTCCACCCTATATATAACGGAATCTTAATGTATCGTATAACGAAATTGTGTGACAGAAAATTTCAATCTTACACGCATTAAAATTTTTACTAAAGTGCCCGGTGGAATTGTGATGAAAGTTCCAGACATACGAATTTTTGGTTGTGGCCGTACATTGAAGGTTGAAATACGAAAAGTCACGTATCACGGGACCTTGTATTATTTTAAGTGTTAGATGTTACGGTAAATTTGTTATTTAAAACTTCCGTTCCTTCAGCGTAATGTTTTATTTTAATAAATACATATTGATATATATATACAGTAGCTATTAAATAAGTCTTTTTAATTCCAATATTAATAATACCATTCATTACACTAAAAATATCCTTCTAAGTTTTGCAAATTATAATTCCAATAATATTAATAAATGTGTTTTGATCAATTAAATTATTTTTAGATACAAGTACAATAAATAGTATATGAAAAGAGCACCATGAAGCGCTAAATATTACAAGTACTATAAATGTATAATTATTTAAACATTAATCTTTACATACAACAAAAATGTATAAATAAATTTTTATTTTTATTAAAACTTCAAAAAGAGTTATTTCAAAACTATAACTTCTAATATACTAATGAAATCTGACATACTACTTAATGATTATTAATATTAACATTTTGAACATTTAACCTTTAAATAATCCTGAATTTGCATTTTATAAAGATAAAATTCAATTGAATCAGAAAATATATCAGCTATTTTCATTTATTTATTTAAATATGATTTTACAGTTCATCCCTCTTTTCCTTTTTCAAATACACTGCGATGTCAATGCAATTCTCACAATCCATGGGAGAACCTTCCAGAAAATAAGCAGAGACCGAATCTACTGGAAACATTTCAACCCCTCTTTCCACTTTATCATTGTAGAAACTAGTAATAAACTTTTTTGCAGTTATTCTATCGGTCATTTTACGAAGCGTAATTTGGTCGGGATCATACTTGGCCATTTCTTTTTAATTTTACGTTTGAGATTGTCAACGTGTTTGTCGCCACCAACTTCAATAACGCTAACGCTTTGAGCCGTTGTGTTTTGCTCTTCTAGGAAGATAAGACAACGTAGGGTGATTTCGGCAGAATTTACTTTGTAACAGAGAAGAATTATTAAGTAGAAAAATAAAGCACCACAAATAAGTTATTTTATAAAATGTGATAATAATGGAAAAATATTTTAGTTTTCAAAGTGCGATCAAACCTTGTTTATTTATTTAATCAGACACATGATAGATAATTTTTTTACAAAAAATAATTTCGGGGTTTTTCGATTTTCATACCATATAATATACCGAAACATTTCATGCGTTCTATACATAGTTATAAAACAATGTATGATTATCAGAAGTGATAACGGTTGAAATACCGCCTGTCTGAAAAAATATGAAGCTTTGCACAGTCGCTGTTCACAATGGAGATTTATTGAATTGGCGGGTTGTTTTATTAACTCATATCTGGTTAGAAAACTTGTATTTGGTTAAGGTTAAAAAACAGATAAGCCAAATTAGTAATTTCATGTTATCAAAATTTTTTTTTTAATAATATAATAGAACAAGAGTTCATGTTTAAAGGGGGAGTTAGGACTATAAAATGTAAAATATATGAAATGTGATTTATTTTGAACTTGTTCATTTCTAATAAAATCATGACATTTGAATTTATAAAAAATATTTTTTTTAACTCATTAATTTCGTTATACACCTAATAAAGGTCATGTTTAAATATCTTCGTTTATTGCGATTTGGTGATAAATTAATTTGTAAACAACTATGATCTAATAAGTAAACTTGCAAGATTTGTAATATTAATCAATGAAAACTAATAATAAATATAATAAATAATACATAATTAATAAAAAAAAGCAGTGACATATATAACGTAATAACAGTTTAGTAAAATTCCAGAAAGAAAAAACAAAATAAAAATAACAAAAATGCTTATGCCTTTTTACCAATTTATCGAACTTAAATGCCAATTTTAATTTTAAATACGATATATTATCGCTCATCATGGTGATTGTCACACCTCGCATCATGTTTTTTTAAATCCTATTCATCAACAAATCTCCAGTGCGATAAATGGAAAAATATGAAACTCAAGTTTTTCTGAATTTGCGGCAGATTTCAACAATAAATTGGTTATTCTATTGTAGTGCCATAACTATAGGATTAATTTTTTAACCTCAGAAGTTAGGATCTTTTGTGTAACATTAATAGTCCGAAGTAATTTAGGTTCATTTTAATAATAATAATACAATGAGTCATAATTGTTTCTTAGTTCTTTTTAGTTCTTTTAGTTCCTTTTCTTTAGACCTTTTACTTCTTTTAATTTCAATAATTATTTTATAACATTTTAACGAACTTTTATGATTATATATTTTATATTTAATAAATAACTGACCTATTCTTACATAATAAAGAATAAACTTTTTATTAAAATATAAAACCTTGTAATGTTCAGAGTGGCAGAAGCTGTCATTACACTATTAATAACATGAAATTTGGGTACTGTAATTTGAATTACATTCACTTTTTTCAAAATGAATAATCTTGCCAAATTTCTCATGTTGGTTGATGAGTTAATTACTAGGAATTTTAATTTAACAACAATAAATAAATATTATAAAATAATAGAAAGAATAGAAAATACCACCAGCACATATTCGCTTCGTTAAAATTTACGGATCTGCTATTTTTATTTTGATCCTTGTGATTTTTATTTATTCATAACGACCTATAAAAAAAACAGTAGCCTTGTTTCCAGGTTACACGATTTGTGCACATGATCTGGATGATTATTTTCAGTAATTATAAACTTTGATCATTGTTAAGTAATTTTTTTATTATATAAATAATATATAGTAGACATGCGTGATAATCGCCGGTGAAGTTTAACGAATTAATCTGGGATTAAACATCTGAGAAATATGGATAAATCTGAGATTTGTCCAAATTTTATCCCGGGTAAATCTGGGTTTGGAATAATGGGTCGTAATAATGCGTATAATAGTCCTGTTCAATTCTATTCTGTTCCGATTTTTGCTAAATTTTTTAGCCAGTCAAATTCATTTAAAAATCGGATTAACATCCGGATTAAAAAAATTGATGATCCGAATGTTCCATAATTTGAATATGCAATATGTGCTTGGATTTTTGATTGATATGATTGGTAGGAAATAAACAGAACAGTTTAAACACGATTTTTCTACTCAATTTATGCCCATTTTTATTGCGGTTTTCGAATTACTAGTGTGATCAGGTGATTTGTTAATCAATTATAACGAAAAAACCGAAAATAACCGAAAATAACCGAAACCCCCATATTCAAAAAGTTATTCCTAATAATTAATGGTCAATTATTTTTTGTTCTGACCACTTTTTAATATGGTAACCACTAATGTAATAATAGGAATTACATGAAATGTCGATTATAGAAATCGTAGGAATCGAAACTACCAAGTTATATATTGCTAGCGAATATACGAAACAAACGGCAAAAAAATATTTTGAACATGATACAGTGCTTAGCATTGTGTAGATCAAATAACATTTATAGTTTATATGTCCACATGATCACTTTTCGTAATAATTCCGCAGCTGATATCAGATATTTATTTATTAAAAAAATTTGCCGATCACACTAATTCGAAATTGGCTAAAATTAATTTCACTAAAATCGGATCAGAACGGAACAGAATAGAATTGACAAGCTAATAAATCCTTATATGTTCTAAAGCACATGGGATCTGCATATCGCCTAATCTATTACTACAGCATGCGCCACCTTAACAGTTAAGTGAGTTAACTACTAACATTCTCTTTTTAGGGAAAATTTTGATATAATTATCCAGTAATGGCTCAAAGTAATGATAAAGGTAAAAAGCATAGTGGCATGAATATTTGGTACAAATTAATCTAAAATTTTTAAAACAAAATTTGCAATATAATATACTAGTTTCTAGTAGCATTGAAGAATTTGAAGGAAGTAACACCGAAGAATTTAGAGGAGGTAACATCAAGAAATTTGAAGGTAAATATAATACCCAAAATTATTAAATTTTTTTTTAATTATTAAGAAAATTATTTATAAATAATTTAAAATAAATAATTTAAATATTATTGTACTTTTAATATTCACAATTATATTCTTATATAAAAATTGTTTTAAATAATTTAGCTCATAGGTTAAGTAATAAGTTATCTTACAATTTGAATAACATTGGAATTACTGGTTTAGGTAAGTTGCCAGTTTTTTATTTTTTACTGTATTTTGCATAATATTCAAATAACTAAATTCCTTGTTTAAATAAACATAAATTAATTGTTATAGAAGGTAAGTTGTAATATTTGATTATGCTTATTAGTAAATATTTACATATAATTCAAACTAATTATATTCTTTATTCAAATAATTTAGAATGTAAGGGATATATTTAATTTATATTTAATTACAGTATATATATTTATAATGATATTTACATTTAATTAATTAATAATTAATACTACAGGGTGTAAGTTATATTATTATCTATATCTATATTTCTGTCATTTATAAAATTTAAAACTAATAAAATTCTTCATTTGAAAAATTTTTAATAATATAGTTCGTAAGTTATGAATTTTTTATTTAATTTTCTTATTACATATTTATATACATATAATCTAAATTAATTAAATTCTAATTATTTAATAATATAGTTCGTAAGTTATTTATTTAATTCTATTACTACTTATTTATAATATTTACGTATAATTTAAACTAATGAAATTTATTTGAAAATTATTCAATAATAGCACGTAAGTTATTTATTTAATTCTATAATTCATATTTATATAATATTTACGTATAATTTAAACTAACTAATTTCTTTATTTAAAAATTATTTAATAATATAGTTGGTAAGTTATTTATTTAATTCTATTATTACATAAATATATAATATTTACGAATAATTTAAACTAATTAAATTTTTTATTGGAAATTATTAAATAATATAGTCGGTAAGTTATTTATAATATTACTGTAAATTTTAAACTAATTAATTTCTTTATTTGAAAATTATTTAATAATATAGGAGAGCGTAAGCTATTTTTTAATTCTATTCATTATTACATATTTATATAATATTTACGTATAATTTAAACTAATTAAATCCTTTATTTGAAAATTATTTAATAATATAGGGCGTAAGTTACTTAATTCTATTCATTATTACATATTTATATAATATTTACGTATAATTTAAACTAATTAAATCTTTATTTGAAAATTATTTAATAATATAGTCCGTAAGTTAGTAATTATTACTCAATTTCGTCTATCATTACATATTATTATATTTTACTAACTAAATTCTTTATTTAATAACATAGCATGTAAGTTATAGCTATTTCTATTATTATATATTTTTTACTAAATTCTTTATATAAAAAAATATTTGGTGATTTACTTTAGTTGGTAAGTTATAAATTGTTAATTTATTTTATATATATTTATGGAAAAACTAAGGTTTATTTTATTAAATTTCTATTTAAATTTTAGAGTAAGTAATGAAATTTTATTTTCAAACTCTAAATTTTAATATAAATTAATATAATTTTTAATTATTTAAATTATAGATTTGGAGAAAGTGAAAATGTAATTTTGAATGAGTTTATTTCTGAGAAAAAGTTAAAATGGGTTCCTTATAATAAATTTAATAATGTTGAATATCTTGATAAAGGGGGATTTAGTACTTTATATAAAGCTATTTGGAAAGACATGATGGATGAAGTAGTAGTTCTTAAAAGCCTCAATAATATGAATGAAAATTCAAATGATTTTTTAAATGAAGTATAATAATACATTATTTATTTCTTTTAATTCAAATAATAATTTATTTTTGCTAACATCTAATTTTATTTTTTATAGTGGAAATATCAAAGTTTATCAAAACGGTTTATTAAATTATATGGTTTTACAAAAGATCCAAATACTTCTGATTATATGGTAATAATGGATTATGCAAATCAAGGTAATTTAAGAGGAAATTTAACAAGAATAGTTAAGTATGATTGGAAACAAAAATTACATATGATATATGAAATTATTATTGGACTTAATTATATACATCAACAAAATCTCATTCATTGTGATCTTCATGATGGCAATATTTTATTAGATTATGGAAATAAAGTTTATATTAGTGACTTAGGATTATGTAGACCTGTAAAATCATTTTTTAAAAAAGATGATATTTATGGTGTTATACCATTTATGGCACCTGAAATTTTAAGAGGAAAACCTTACACTCTAGCTAGTGATATATATAGTTTTTCTATGATTATGTGGGAATTTACATCTGGAGTTCCACCATTTAATGATAGAGAACATGATATTCAACTTAGTTTTAGTATTTGTAAAGGTGAACGACCTGAAATTACTGAAAATACTCCACAATGCTATGTAGATTTGATGAAAAAGTGTTGGGATGAAGATCCATTAAAAAGACCATCTTCTGAGGAAGTATTAAATACTATTAAAAAATGGATTTTTATTCCTGATCAGATGGAAATTAAAGATATTAATGAAGAATTAAAAAGCCAAATTATGGAATTTATAAATGCACCAATTGAGCATAAAAATCCTGCTAAATTTCATTCACAAGCATGTTATACAAGTCGCTTACTTAACTTTACTAGTGAAAAATTAAATGACAATCTAAAAAGTGAATGTTTGGATTGTATAGTTAATGATATGAATTCATTGGGTATGTAATATATAATATTTACAAATTATTTTACATAAAATTAATTAATTAATTAACAATGTGGATGTTAAATCAGACAAAACTAATTAATTGTTTATTATTGTTCAGTTGATTAGAAGAGATTTTAGTGACCAATATTTTTATGAGACATCTAATATTAAAATCATTAATATTAGTAGTATTAATTCCTATTGGTTATCACAGTATTCCAAATATAACTCAGTTTTTGGATGGGAATGTAGTAAATCTTTGACCAATATCTCATTTTCACCTATCTAATAATTAATTGTATTTTTTAAAATTTTTTATATAAAGGATACTTATGTATTTATTTATGTATTTAACAAAAATTGTTTTTTATCTTATTAGAATTATTTAAACACTAAGGCTAGAGTAGTGAATATTTCACAATTTCTTAGTTTGTAATTTAAATAATTCCTGTTATTTTATACCTTATCCAAATATTAAATATATGTATTTTATACAATTACTATTATAGTTTAAATTATTTAATTTGGCTTTAATTACAATAATTACAACTAGAGTAATTTGGGCATAGGTGAGCTGAGTTAAATAAACATGCATATTTGAGTAAATAATAAAAGTAATTGTAACATGTATCAGTATCAGTTTTACTTACAAAATTTAAGAAATTAAAACTTTTTTAACCATTTATTTTATTAGAATATTTCATGCTACAATTTTTTCTACTAATTCAATTAAAAAAAAAAAATATTATGGATTTAGAAAAAAGAAAAAAAAAAGTATATGGAGAATGTAATGAACTAGGCATAGGATGGCGTTGGTATCGACCTTGTAATGCTAAAGATTTTAAAGATTTGACGGAAATAATGAATCTAATCTGACTTTATGATAGAGCCAGTAATTTTATTAAATAGTTTAAAAAAGCAAGATTTTTTAATTATAAATAAGTATATTTTAATTTGACAAAATTAAAGTATTGAAAATATAGTTAAATTAATATTATTTTAAATAGTGGGATACCACCATAATATAATTATATTACGGTATATGGTGGTATCTCACTTAGCCTAGATTATAGTACACTATATAATCTAAATATAAATACCACTATATAATCTAGCTACTACCATATAATCTAAATAATATAATCTAGATACCACCATATAAGGCCGGGCAAAAAAATTTTTTAGATTCTCGTGACATAAAATTTTAAAAATGACCCAGCCAGCGGCATTTTTTTTTATATATGTAAAAAATTTTTCATATGTAAAATTTTTTGTGTACATTGGCCAAAAACTTAAAATCACGTGATAATTTTTTACTATAAAAAAAAAAATTTCCATTTTTCGAAAAACTGAACCGGCCGGGTTCACGAGAATCAATTTTTTTTTGCCCGGCCTAACCTATATATTTTACTGTATCGGATATCTATCCCTTTTAACTTTTCCTGTTTATCATTTTTACCGCCATATAATCTAACTACTACCCACCATTTAATCTAACTACCACCATATGATCTAAATACCACGTTTTACTTCTTGTTTCTGAGTCTTTTGCATACCAATTACAATATTGGGATTGTGGATACCTGGTTTTATGTCGAGGGTGCTGGCCTTCTGTGCCAGGTTGGATGCTGGATTCTATATTGAGTTACCATTTGCGCCTGTTTGATTGCAGTAAAAAAATCGTGTCGGGTGGCGCAGTAGATTTGCGATTAATTTCGGCTGACACTATATCATAATTCTGGCCGTTGACCTGGCTAGGCTAACTTTTTTTACCCATACCCTTAGAAACCTATCCGATCGAAGATGATGAAGAGGAGTTACTACAATGTGTTAAGGAAATAAAACGCAGGTTGGGAAATATGGGACCCTACTTGCAGACAGCAACAAAGTAATGCGTTGTGAGTATATTTCAGCCATCCTCCATGCTTCGCCTTATATCGCGAAAAAAGTACCGGCTGAGTTGACTACGCAATCAAGGCCCTCGAGAAACTTATTTGTATAACGGAAGGGAAGTTGCACCAAGTGACCATAGGCTTCGCTCAGAATTTGGTTCAATGCGAGAGCGCTCTACAAGTTAATAAAAAGAATAGGAAACGTAAATCAGGCGAAGCGTTTGGAAAGATTATGAGGCACTTCAACTAATTCATCTTCAATTTCTTTCGGTTCTTCCGGTTCCCCTGGTAAGATAAAAACAGAATAATCCTTGATAAACCAATGCTTTTATGTATTAGAAAGGGTTGATTAACATTTATCATTTAATTCGCCAACAATTTACTAGTATTGTTGATTTAACTAGTATGTGTTTGGAAAATTATACATTAGATCAGATGTGTAGTATTATATCCGTTAAACTTGGGATGAGAAAACTTAACAAGCAGGCGTGTCTTTCATGCTTTTCCTCCCTTGAAACATCCTGCTATTCCATATATTTCGTTTGCAGTATGTTTCTTAATTGCGAATGAAGCTCTGTTAAAAATATATATTATATAAAGTATCCACCCATATACAGATGGTGGCCTAAATGATCCGGCCACTTTTCAAATTAAAAAACTTATATACATATGATATATTGAAAATGAAAATTTAAGTTAAATATGATCATTGTGTCTTCATTGATTATTTTAAACAAAAATTTAACAATAAAATCTAACCCCACTTGTAGTAATAACTGCTTCAATTCTGAGGTATATAATTTATGATTATTTTATAATATTCCAGAGGAATATTTTTATATACATCTTTAATGTACTTTTTCAAGTGCTTTTATCATAAAATTTAATAAGATGAGACTTATATAATATTGTAGAAGTTTTTATGAGATAGTATTGCATATGATTATGGGTGGTATGCAAATACAAATATTAAGCAAGTTTTTGAAGTTCACATAAATTCCACATAGTTTAAAATTTAAAATGTATGTTAATGATATTTCATTATCTAATGATTGGATTTTCATGATTTTAGATTCATTGCGTTTGTCTCATTGAGAAGACTCAAATGATGATAATTTTACATTTGTGGAATTGATATTTTGCACATAATTACACTTTAAAAAATTTAGACATTTAGTTCAAACATTTCGTATAATAACTTTTGTTCTAGTGATCAGATTTTCATAATTTTTAGTTCATTAGATTCGTCTTTTTAAGACGATTCAGATGGTAGTAAATTCATGACAATTTGATAGATATTACCTTAATTACAGCATTTTTAATCATCTAAATTTTTCGTTATGCAACTTGTAAAATTCATGCAATAAATGGTTTCATATTTCCATAAAAATTCTGAAATAATATGAAGCAATTGAGACATTAAAATTTGATTATTATAATTGTAAGTAATAAATAATATGTTTTTTATATCACATCAACATTTTGATGATCGGCATAATTTTGGTAAAAAAAAGTGGCCGGATCATTTAGGCCACCATCTGTAGGTGTGCAATGTACGCCAAATATGTATGTATTAATAAATTTGTAATTAAATTCGCATGTGTTTTATATAATTCTTGTACAATGAACTGGTCGAAAAATACTTTTTTAATTTGTAAAATTACTAAATAACAAATTACGCAATACAGCTAATTTAAAATGATAACTGATAAGATACATGAATTGGACTGAATGGGGAATAAATCAATTACTTCTAATAGTCAATTATTTCTATATTAGTGTTTATTTTTATTCTTTTTCTTTTTGATTCTTCAGTTATAACATAAGTCTCAGCATACTCACACGACTCTGCCCATTCTTTAGCTTCGCGGTCAGCTACATCTAGTGGTACCAATTTATGGGTGTACTCATCGATATAACGAAGATTTTCCTGGTAAAAAAGAAAATTCATCAAAGCCTCTCTTAAATCATGTCCTCCGAGTATAATGCTATTTTCCATTCGTGACCATATATAAATTATACCATTATTATCTTCTAGCCAAAATACAAAATCATCATATGAAAGTATAGGGTGGACATCAGTGATACCATAAACTTTGGAAAACTTATTTATCTCACGATCACTTAGGACATTGATATTGGTTTCATCATGAAATGAGTAATCCTTCTTTAATATGTTAACAAGGTGATCTTTGGAGAACTCTGTGTAATCAACCTGCAATTTTTGCAAGGTGGTATCATTGCCTGTGTTTCTGTCTTGATTGAAAGGGAACTGATTGGTAGATCGTGTTTGCAAGATGCTAGATGTGACCATGCGTTGGTCTCCGCACAATTCCCAAATTGCCAGGGTTCCCGACTTGCTATCAATTTCTTCTTCTCGTCCAGTGGGAAAAGATGATTGTGCTTTAAGTCAACCTCCTGTCACAACTGTATTAAACCTTTCTTCGCATTTTTGCCCCCTATTGGTGTCGTCCCGAACGAGATCTTTATAATTTCCTGTTGTTCAGTTTTCTAAGATATGTTTATTGTTGTCGGTGGGTCGTTGTCTATTTCCATTAATATTAATGTCCATTTCGCAAGTTGGTTCAGATGTTGATGCATAAATTCTTCTTGTTGGTCGGGAGATTTCAGAGATTTTGGGGGCAGTCCGATATTCACTGTATAGAAAAGTGCTAGTCCGTCCACAAATGTGCTCACTACAAGCGTCGCTCCGTCTACCTCCATTGGTTGGCATAGCGGTTTTCCATTCGGCTGTCTCAGAATGAGTTGTTTCTGGTTCCTTGAATGACAAACAAAATTTAATGCGGAAATTGCTTAAAGAAAACATGTCACAATATTTGAAACATACTTGTACGGTTCCAGAAAGGTTTTGTACAGAAATTTTGATGTCTTGCTCGTTTTTGACAGTAATTCCAAGTAGTTCCATAACTAAAGTCTTTTTAGATGGTTTTCTTAAAAAATGTATAAATAACGACTTAGTGACTTACCTCTTTTTTTCGCTTGTTCTTTCTCTTCTTTGGTATTGGTATTAAAATCCTTCAACTTGATATGGGACATATTTTGGTGTATATATATATAGCGTCACAAAAAGTCATGCGATCAATTTAAAATGGCAGGTCATTTGTTGAAATGACCAGTCATTTGATCATTTGCCATCACTGCCGGTATCCGCCTAGGAGAATTATCAAGTGAATCACATATTCGCATAGTTGCCACCTTACCAGCTCGGAATGCCAAGGGCAAAGATGGTCACCTATCAGCAAGATGAATGGTACAGTAAAATTTAATAAGCTTAACGGCCTTAACGTGATCTTAAATCGTTTAATCACGTGATTTATTATGGCGTAGGAGCCTATTTTATATTAACAGTTAAACAAGAGGTTATTGTAAAAAATTAAAACCAAATTTTTAATATAGAACGTGTGCACATTATCTTGTTATACTCGGCTTTCATGAGGTCATTTAATAATTTGAATACATTTATTAAAATTATTTAAATTACAAATTAAGAATTTTGTAAAACATTTACTACTCTATCTAGTCTTAGTGTTTATATAATCCAAGATAAAATAATAAATAAATAAATAAATGTTAATAATTTAAAATATAAAAAAAAACATTGTTAAATGATTATTCATAAAGCAAACTAATTAATTAAGAATTTACCATCAGGAATTTTCAGTTCATCTTGTTTTTAACAAACATTATTTGGAAACTTGCATATTACATTCTTTTTATATAAGCAAAAAATTTTTTTGGAAACTTATACTTAATAACTTTATTACTTTATTCAAATATTAATCGTGTCAGAGTAGCTCACTGAAAGCATGTTCTTTGTTAAAATTACTGACCGATTGATATCTGTGCCTATTAACCAAAATAAAGGTTTATTTATCTTATTAATCACATTTTATTTTTAGCCATTCCGGAAAATTTTTTTTTTTTCAAATACTTTTCGATTCTTATCAAACCGAAAAAACTTTTTTTAATTGGTTTTATATTATTGCGGAGGATTTATGACCTTGCTGCGTCTTCGGGAATTAAAATTGATTTACGAAAACATGTGATATCGATTAAATAAATATATATATTTTTTGTTTAAATAAATTATAATCTTTTAATTAAAAAAATTTCGAAAAAAAAATATCATTATAAGTGATTAATTATATCTTCAACTCAAGCAAGTTTTCCATTTCTTTTCTTGAAAAGTATTTATCTTTAAAAGTTTTGGAACATGTAACCATTTACTTCAATTGAAAGTTGAGGATTACGTGCACGTGCAATTATTGAAAGCTTCAACCTAAATCTTCAAGTTTTACCACATATTTATATTAGATAAAATCATAACATTCTTTCCTGATAAGATTGGATTGATTAATTTAATGATTTTATTACGTATTAAATTTTTCAAAATATAAACTTACCTACTTACCTATTTGTATCATTATTAATTAATATATATTAATTATTATTCACTTTAAGAAATTCATTAATTAAATATTCTCCTACTTTCATACATACATGTATGTTTACTAAATTCATTTATTACTATCATTAATATTCAAAAATCCACGTATTAGATAAATATATGAGATATATGAAGTAATATAAATCCTATTATGATATATATGTGTATAACAATTGCTTTGCTTCATAGTACATTTTTATGTATATATTTTACACCTAATTAAAGGTAGTAGTAATTTGCTATCTTTAATATTAGAACTGAAATATATTTAATTCTGTAGAATTACAATATATCATCAGATAATCAATTATCAATATCTTTCATTGTATAACTGATAATATGTTAGACATCTGATGGCTCCAATTGTATAACTTTATTAAGATCCAACAAAACATTATCATATTCTTGAAAAATATAATACGCAATACTTTGCATATCGTGACCATGTCAAAATTTTATCGTAGGAATTATAATCAAGATCTGAATCAAGCGTCGCAAGTGGTTTGGAATCTTTACCATCTAATAAATGCCGTATCGCAAATAAGATTGTGTAATCCCAGTAAATAGTTTTGTATATATTTGTACCAAATGGGCTCATCCATATATAATTGGCTCTAAATTGGCTTAAATTGGGATTATTTTTTGCATAAATTTGAGCTAATTTCGAGCCAATGAGCCCATTTGGTATAAATTTATACAAAAACTATTTACTTGGAATGTTTTAATAAATCCAAAACTACGTTCTTTAGATTTGTTCGGGTACAATGCTCTCGAATTCGCACCGGTAATTCCACGACTATGTTACAACTTACAATACATGTCGTCACGTGTTGGATACTAAATCGTTGGCGATCACTTAACTGCGTAGTAACAAATCCATAGGTTCCTGCAAAATAGCTCTTTTTTTTTTATTTTTTTCGGTTTATTTTTAGACCAAATTTTTTTTTTTAAACTGATTTTTATTTTAATTTCTTTTTCCCTGTAAAAAAAGTCAATCCGTTTTTTTTATATTCCGTCTTTTTTTCCGTAAAAGACTCATATTTCCGGAATTTATCGAATTATTTACATTTTTCCGTGAATGGATCCGGGAAAGGCTCATTTTTACGGAATTTTTACAGAAATAACGGATAAAATTTTTTATAGAGTTTCAGTTTGATCTTTCTATAACTGAAAATTTTTCTTTTAATTTTTCTTTTCTATTTTTAAACCAATTTTTTTTAATTTTTTTTCCTTTATAATAGATCTATACTATTTTTGTTATACAAATTTTTTCATTTAATTTTATATATTTTTCTATTAGTAAGTACATTATTAAAATTATTCTTTTTTTATTTTTAGACTTAAATCTAAATCAGAGATCGGATTGATGTTGCGGTGTTATAGTAAGCACCTTTTTTTTCAATCCTCATTTAATAATTTTTTTCCATAACTAGTATTTTTTTGCTAATTTTTTTTCATTCTTTCCCCCTTTAGATTTGGATCAATATTGACGAAAATTACATCTGCTAATATATCGGGATTTTCGGGAATTTATCCATTGGGATTCAATATTTTATTTTGTTCCACATTAAATGCAATTTCGGAAATGTATTTTTATTCGTAAATACCGAAATGGCCGTCGGGATTTTATTTTGTCCCCACATAAAAATATATATGGTCATTGATCTTCAATATTTTTAACCCTTTATAAACAAAATGATCTAGCATGTCAAACATTTGCAATGTGGGACAAATATTAACGTTACTTTATACGGTCAAATAGTTGATAATCAAAAGTCTTGGAAATTTTTAATTACAAATTCAAAAAGAATGATTTAGTTAATAAGCTATGAAGAGTCCAATCACTGAAAGTGTCCAATTACTAAGAATTATTTACAGGGATATTTTATCAAATCTGTCGATATAAAGAAAAAGTGTGATGATTTACTATTAATTGAATTTCAATAAAGATGCGATCATAACTCCAAAAAAAATGCATAAAAGAACGTGTTTTTTTCCCTGACAGCATTTCATTCTTTTATATAAAACATTATACTAAAACATTTCCTCTGTAAAGCAATAAGCAATGCAGCAGCAAATTATTTCCTCAAGTTGCAAAGCAACTCCTACCAAATACATGCATAACTCCTTTTCACATCTTTTACAACACACATTATCCTTCAAGTTAATTTCTTTAATCTCTTTAATCTTTTTATCAGCATTAATCGAAGCTGCTCCAGTACCTAATACTCTTGGTCCCATTACATCAATCCCTAATTTACAGAGCTTTGCTAATTACGCTGCTGCTGCTTATATTAAGGCTCCTCTTCAAAATTGGGACTGTGGAGAAATCTGTCAGAAAACTAAGGGTACCCAATTGGTTAAAGAATTTAGTAACGATGTGCTTAACACAAGAGGTATTTTATATTATTACTGTGCCACACATCGTTAACTTTTTGCGTTTACTAACAAAATAATATGTAGGTTACATAGCCACGGAGCCAGAAAAACAATTAATCATCGTAGCATATAGAGGAACGGAACCAGGAAGTATTAAAAATTACATTTCTGACTTTGTCATTTATCACGATACTTGGAAACCTGCACCTGGTACCTTGGTACACCATGGATTTCTTAATGCTTGGGAACAAATTCAACCCCAAGTTACCGATGATCTTTTAAAATTAATCCAAGAAAAGCCCGATTTCAGGATCGGATTTATGGGTCACAGTTTAGGTGGTGGTAAGTTCAATAAATAAAAAAAAATTACATATTTAATTATAACTTTTTAACAGTCTTTTTTTTTTTACCATAGCACTTGCTACATTTTCGGCATTAGATCTTATAAATAAAGCGCCAGAATTAGCTAAAAATGAAAAATTGTTTCTTTCTACATTTGGTCAACCAAGAATGGGTGATGAAAAATTTGCTGAATTTGTTGATGAGAACCTAAGAGCAATAAGAACTGTAGTTCATGGTGATCCAATTCCTCGTTTGCCTCCACCATGGCCAATTCCATTTATTGGGTCCTATAAACATTTTGGTAAAGAATTATATATAAATAATCCTGATCAAGATCCAGATGCCTTTCAGGAATGTGTGGCTGAAGATCCAAATTGTTCTGAATCGGTGCCTTTTGGTCAGTTAGACCTAAAGTATCATTCGGTCCCTATTATGGTGTTAATATGAGAGATGCTACTAGAGAGCCCAATGTAAATTCCATTGAAGATTCCAATGAAGGTGACAAAAATTACGATTACTCAGCTGATCCTTATTTCAATTATGACCCAAATTACAATTATGGGGGAGCTATGGGAGTTAACGATGTTGGTGGTGCTAAGGGAGTTAACGGTACTAAGGAAGTTAAAGGTACTAAGGGAGTTAACGGAGTTGACAGAGCTAAAGGTTATAGATAGATAAAATTTTTTATTTTTAGACTTAAGTTATAGATAGATTAAATTTTTTATTTTTAGACTTAAAGTAGATAATAATGTAATTTAATTAATTTAATTAATTTGTCGACTTAAAAATAGATAATAATGTAATTTAATTGATTTTTTTTTTAATTAATTTGTTTTATCGCCGTTTTCGAATTACGCATTTGTCGATTATTGCCTTAATAAAATAAAGAATCACTTGTACTACTACAAACTACAAAACTTTAATACCACTGATGTCTATCCGTCACCGTTCACGTGACCGATGTCGGACAACTTCCCGACAACCTTTTTTCCCGACATACCCTTTGCCCGACGACGATTGCCCGATAAGTCATATTCCCGAATGTAGGGATCGGAAAAGATTCGATTAAAATCGAAACTATCGAAAATCGATAAGAATCGATTTTAAATCGAATCTCGAATAAAAATCGAATCTACTTATTGTGGCGCAGTTTCGTTAATTTGACCGTAAATTATTATTTGTTCATAATAGTTAATTTTGGCCAAATTCATAATTCCGCCCGCGAATCACGTGACGGAACACAAACTTCCTAAAAAGGAAATTTTATCTCCCAATAAAATTCAAGTTGCTATCGCACAAGGTTGTACAAATTTCCAAAAAAGGAAAATTTGTTCGTCGATCACTGTAATTTTGTAATCACGTGATATGTGTTTAAACACACCTATTATAAATAGTATAAAAAAAAATCGGTATTTGCGAAACGATTAATCGCGATTAATCGATTTTAGAATCGATTCTAATAATGGGAATCGATTCCAATCCCTAACCTGGTGTTCTTTATTAAAAAATATAAAAAAATGTCAAATCTGACGTTTTTTCATTTAAAAAAAAAAATAATAAACGTCGAATCTGACGTTTTTTCATTTAAATAAATAATGTTAAATCTGACGTTTTTTCATTAAAAAAAAAAAATAAATTCTCTAAGTTCAGTGTTATGAATATGATTTGCTAAGTATTCTTTCGGAATAATCCAACAGAATCTTGAGTTATACCTGCAAAACATTCTTTATAAAATAACTTTATGACATAATCGTCTATATTACATGAAAGATGTAAATTTCACTAAATGTTCTTGAATAAATAAAATTAAAATTAAAAACTAACCGTAATTATATCTAAATAACAAAGGAATTGCCTTAGAGATAGTACACATCCAACCCGCATTATCCATTGCATTTCTAGACTAATATTCTAAAAAAATAAGCAACAACAATCATATCTTTAAGTTAACGACCTATAATAAAATAAAGTTATTTAATCGTGACAAATAATTCTGCATCGTAAAAGCAATAAGTTTAGAGGTTTACCTTTGCAATGATAAATTGCTAATTCCATATTATTTTCTGGTTTAATTGTTTCTTTTAGCCCATAATCTATTTTTTCGGCAAAGTCAAGGTCATCTTCTTTTAAAAAACTTCTTTTTGGCCATAAATTATTACGTAGTATATGTCTGGGTTCGTCATGAACAACTTTATTTCCGATGGATTCTTCATTTCCAAATAATACATATTTTATTAAATCATCACAGTCACTGAGAATTAAACTTTTCATAATGTTGTGTCGAATATCTAACAATCTAAAATTTTGTGGCTCAAGCTTAGCAAATTTCCAGACTATAAGCTCGATGTAAGTAATCATATCCCTATACTTTTTAACCAAAAAGAAATATTAATTAATTTCCTAAAAAGAAATGAAATCAAACCTTTTAAAAACTACTTTGTATGATTTGATGTAATTATCTATAAGGCTTTTATTTTTATAACGCTTATTAAGATGTTCTAGTGCTTTGCAAGCGTGTCTAATTGCACGAAATTTTTCACTAATATTTTCTCGTTTAATTACTTTATCACATCTTTTCATTACCATTTTAAACTTTTGTTTTCTTTTCTCGTTTATATCTTTGTTTTCATCTATCTTAATTATTTTTTCTATTTCATCTATTCTTTATCTTCTTCCTTTTTTGTATACTCTTCTTTTTCTGTATTATTTTCATTATTTCAATATTTCTTTCATACCAATAAACCTTTAAATGAAAATCATTCAATTTTTCATGTGATCTATCATTCGATCCACATTTAAAATATTCAATTCGTAATTTTGTTTTGTCTCTTTCTTGATTTATCGGAATACGATTTGACCATATATATTCAAGAAATGGGTTTCCATTGTTAGGAAGATCACCTTTATTTTTGCCATCATCTTTTATTTGATGCCAAATTTGAACGGTGGATTCGCCAACTAAAAGTTGTAAAATTTCTTCTTCAGTTCCTCTTTTATTATAATAAAGAGTATAATTTTTTCTTTCATGCTCACCTAATACCCATGATTCTATATCATTAACATCAATTATTGGTTTGGAATTTGGATAACAAAATTCAGGATATTTATTTTTTTTCCTCTTCGACTTTTTCCTTCCTTTGTTTTAATATTCTTACAATTTTTTTAAGGACTGACGAAACTTTTCCATCATTATCTATTTGTAAAATATTTCCTGAAGTACTGGCCAAACTAGTATCAATATTCTTTATAATATCCATTGGAAAATTGTCTAACTCTATTGATTCAACTTTACCAGTATTATATAAATACCAAATTATAATCTTTCAACTTTTTTTCACCTTCTGAATCTTTGTCTTCTTTTGGACTTTCGCCTATTACAAGTAATGTTTCATCACTATCAATAAACTCCAATAAATGTATTCTTTCTAATTCATTAAATTTTTTTGATGCTACTTGTAAACCATTCTCTATACAATATAAACTATAGAAATGAAATTTTACAACGTTATTTAAAGAAATAACAAACAACTATCACATAACACCTACTTAATAATATTATTTCCTTGAGTAAAACAAAGTTGTAAACTACTAATAGTGAAAATAATATAATTGTATTTCTTAAAGTTAAATAATTCATCCTCTTTCTCGAATCTTTTTGCGGTAGTTTCCAATTCCATATTTACGAGATTATAAACTAAAAAAATGGATTGAATTAATAATATTTACGATTTTGTATTACGATTTATATTTCGAAATAATTTACCTTCAAGTAATTGACTATCTTTTTTGTATTTTGTGACCAAAAAATACTTATCATAGATAGATGAGAGAAGTCGTTTCATGCAACCATCATCTGTATCCGTATACCAATTATTTAATTTACGTTTTATACTTTGTGGATATTCAAATTTCTCACTCAATCTAAAAGAATAAAAACTCGAAATTATATATTCCATAAAAATTTAATAATATAAATTTTTTTAGTTCTGAAGAATTGTCAGAATTGTTTACATTCGAAACCTCTACGAATCTACATATTCCTGAAAGATTATTAGAATAACAAACACCAACTCTGCTAAAAACATAATATTTATTTGATAAATAGCGATTCCTTTGTTCCTTTGTTAATCCGTGATGTTATATTAACCGTAGCATCGCTTTCAGAGAAAATTCAAATTTCTTTTTTTGGAATATCTTTCTTTATAATCATAGTTATTATCATTATTTTTCATATCCTCATCAACTTTTATACGAGATAAAGCAACAAGTATAAAATATCCGTCATCATTCTTTTTGTGAATATTAGATATATCAATAGACCATCTATCCACTTTATTCTCGTCAGTCATGCTGTTGTTAATGTCGAGTTCCGGTCCCTCAAATGAAGGAAGCTTGTAATTCTTTTCAATAGTAAAATCATTATTTATTTTAAAATAAGCGATTGTTTCATCTATTTCAACGGTCCCATCTAATTCTTTTTTCTCACGGTTACAGTATCAAATTGACGATAATCAGTTATCAGTATTTTGTAAAATTTAAATCTGAAGGTTTACTATTTTATTTTTTTTTAAAAAAAAAAAAAAAATAGTATACATATGTATGTTCAAATACATAAATTATTTTTTGATTTTTACCCGTATCAAATGTAACAACAAATTTTCCATCTCGACAAATTACAATTTGATAATCTTCATATTTCTTCTTCAAAATGATATCATCTTTTTCATAATCGACATCGGAAGGGTCATCCATATCTTTCGTAAAAAGTTTTCTGCCAAATAAATATAATTATGTATTTTTGATAATTCAAGAAAAAGATGAAGAAAGCAAATTCCGTGATAATTATTTTTTTTAAAAAAAACCTAATCTTTAATATCTGCAGTAACACATAAGGATCCGAGCAATATACAAGAGATCAGCACTCGTATATTATTCTTCAAGGCCATAAAGAACGTATTGTTATTGTTACCTTTTTGTGTATTGATCTGGAGAACCCAAATCAGAAAATGATTAATTATTACTTTCGTGTAAAATTATTGAAAAATTCTAAATCAATAGATTAAGACTTACCATATAGTGAATGATGATAATGCAAGATTACGTGTACTGTACAGTTGTATGCAACTTTGAACAATATTCTAATAATCACTTTTTTCCTATTTGGTTCCGTTATCCGGTATCACGTGATTTTTTATAGTTATCTCAGCGTATGCATCAGCGTGTGTATCAGGCAATATCAAATCACGGGATACCGGATAAATCACTTATTCGGCACTTCGAGCCGAATAACTAACGCTACCTAAAGGTAGCTTGTTATATTGGGAATCAAACTTGATTTACCCAATATAACAGTTAATTGGCACTTCGTGCCGAATAACTATTAAATATAAATTATTAAATATTTATTTAGCTAAACAAAAAAATGGGACGGATTTTAACGGTTTCTGTTTATGAAACTGATATGCGTATTATTAAATCAAGAATTTCTAATAATATTATAAACGAATATCTGATTAATTTAGAATGGCACAGCCTATCCCAAATTTTGTGGCAAACATACTCTTGTGCGTTCAACTATAATTGAAATCAACCCCAAAATCTTAACGGCGTTACCTGGCTAATAACCAGGCATTTAACCAGTTACTTTCAAATGATGTGGATTCAAAATTTGAAAGTACGTGTTACAGTATCAAAAAAAAAAAAAAATTTTTAAAAAAAAAAATTTCTTATATAAATGACTAGAAGAGGAGAAAATAAATATATTTTTTTGAATCAATTCACGAATAACGTATCAAAAATACTTATCACATAAAAATCAAAAAAAAAAAATCATGCAATTAAAATATTTATTATTGATCTTTGCCTTTACTATTGTTTCAGCGGGTAATATACAGCTTTTACTTGATTTTTTTTTTTCCTTTTTTTGACACATTAATATTAATCATCAAATTATTCAAATATTATTAAAATCTTCTTTTATAAATAATGTAGAAGCTTTGGTCGTAAAACGAGAAGGTGATTTTTCAATAAGGATTAATATATTTATATGTGAATAATGAATATTGTATAACATTATTTTTTCTTGTGCAGTGAAAAATAAACGGCACGATTCTTATGATTCTTATAATTCTTATGATTCTTATGGTTCTTCTTATGGTTCTTATAATTCTTATAATGATTATAATGATTATGGTTATTAACTTTACGATTCCAAAAATGAGTTTACAGCAGTAAAATAAATGAAAAGGTCCCATTCAGGACACTTAAAGCTAACGGGTTGTTACACAGCATCTTGTAAGATTCGACTGATAAACAAATTTTGTACATTTAAAATACAGTACATTAAATTTTTTGTAATAAATACAGGTAAATACTATGTAAATTTATACTTAATATTATCCAAGAATGAATTTCTCGAAATGAAACTCGAGTTGTGCTGTTTGTCATTATTAAAACTTGACCCTAATTATTTTTGTTATTAATTACATTTTAGAATTATCACATTATTAAAAATTTTCATATTAATTTTAAAAATCGAAAATCACCTATTTTCAAATAATTGTAATTTAAACGTGATGCAATATAGAAAACGTGACAAAAATGCTCTCGTATACCTCCTTACTTCGCATCATTCACTATTAATTATATGGAAATGTGAAAATTCAATTGTGTATTTAATTGTCCGCCGGAGAAGTTAGCGAAGGACATTCTACTGTACTGTATTAGACGATTTTGTGTTAACCCATGCAATTTTCCTTGTCACCTCACACATTAACCCTTGCTTTCTCCTTTTTTTGTAACTTGTAACATTGCTTATTTTACATATTTTATATTATGCTATTTTCGTAATCATTTTTTTTAATAAAAAATGATACTGAATAAATAAACGCGACGGACTTTAACGGATTCCGTTTTCCTAGTATATTTTATATTATATAAACAGAGCAGAGGAAAAAAAAACAAAAATTTTTTTTTAAAAAAAAAAATCGAAAAACAACAGACAAAGAAGCTAGTTAATCACCATTATAAAAATTCGATCTTAATAAATTAACTAATGATAGTATTAAATGATATTTAAATATTTGATATTATCATAATATTTCTGCTAAATATCATGACTTTAAGCTAGAAGCATGTTTGGAATATATATTAAACTTAATTAGCTTCAACAAATTACTGATTTCTTTAAATAAAATGCATTGTATACGGTGATTACAAAAAAAATTGGTTCAAGAATAGAAAAGTGATAAAAATAATTCTTACGCTCATAATTTTCAAAACATAATATTTACCCTCTCTAATCATAACATAAAGGTTCATAGTAAGAAATTAAGCTTGCGATCATATAACAGAATTTATGGAGTTTTTACGGAAATATGATATGGAGATATTAAGAACTATGCAATATAACATACTTTCTCGACTCATAAGTATCTTTATTTATATAGAAAGTATTACATTATATTAAATATTTATAATAAAAAAACAATATGCTGGATAGTGCAGATATCAGTTAAGAGCGGGATTATTAAATATCAAATAAGCGAAATAAAATAAGATTTAAATTGCATGGTTTACGAATTAAAATATCTATTTCAATAAAATTTTCTTTGAATATTAAATAAAAAAAAGAAAATAGGCATCGGGATAATTAGTGTCTGGATTTTGAATTTTTGGATTATGATTTGTCAGGATTGTGAACGTCGGAATTGTATTGACAATTTTTTAAAAAAAACTATTCAACAATTTGTAAACTATAGATCAAAGGTATAATATAATTGTTAAATGGGTAGCATGGATTAATAAGCAAAATTTACTTAAAAGTGTACGACAGGTTCTTTAGTAACAACCCGTGTCTAAGAAGAATACAACGCAAAAAAAATTTGATTGTATAGGATTTGTTTCTTCACTTTTTGGAAAATACTGGAGAAACTGCCTCACTTCAGCGCTCTTTTGATGGAATTCTTTAAAATCAAAGGCAATGAAGAGGAATTCTTCGACATTATTTGCAGGTAGCAGTTTCATCTCTGAGAATAGCAAGAATCCAAGTACGCTACATCTACAATATCATAGATAAGAATAAAAAATCTGCTTTTAGGATTTCTCTACTACAGTATCTATGTGTTTCTATTATTCTTCTTGATCACGAATTATACACTTATACCTAGACCCGACGAATTATCAGATACCATCTCAAATGTGACGCACAAATTCTCAATTCCTGCCATAGTATTTTTGAATTTATCATCGGTATGCCTTTCTCTTTTTAGCATCTACAATGACAAATTACAAAATCCGTAAATTTCAATATTGTACATTTTAGTTGAAAAACGACATGTATTTGTGAGAATGGGAATCTTTTTATAGCGTTTTATGAAACATTTAGAAAGATATAGTAAACTAAAATTGCGATCTTTCATACCAACGAGCAATTCACATGTTTCAAGTTGATAAAGTAAAATTAATGAACCACCAATTGAATAAAAAGGAAATTCTTAATGACGAATTGGGCAGCTCATTTTTTTTGTGAAAAAAAATATTCTAAGAAGTTCAATTAAACTATATATAGTATAGCAATTATTATTATACCTTTATATCATACAATTTTTTTTTTTAGTTTAAAAAAAGTAAATAAGTAAATATAAAATATATTATCATTTCTTTCTCATAACATGATTGGTAAATAATAAAATTATCATTAACCTAATTAAAGTATAATGGTCGATTTTATCTTAGAACGGATATAAACAAGAAATATAGGCTAATTTTTATGACGAGTTTACCGTGATTTTCCTTGCTTACATTCGTACAGTAAATTTTGATATACAATATAGAATTCTTTTTCTTTTAATGATATGAAACGAGATGGTCAAATTGTTATTGAATTTTTTTATGACCAAAATTTATTGATATATATATAGTTTTAGTAAGTGATTAGCGCAGCATAGTAATATTAGAACCAAATTGTTACATTCAAGTTTATAAATAATGTGTTACCTGTTTTTTATCATTATTGTTATCATTTTCTAAAAAAAGGGATGATTGATTTAGGAGATACTCAATAAAAGGTTAGTAATCAACTCCTGAAACTCTTAAAGGGCTTTTTTTTTTAAGAAATTGAACTGTGGAAAACCAAAAAAAAAGTCAACAATGGTCGTCCATAAATATATGTGACATACTTTATATGCAACAAACAATCATAATAATCATAATCTCCGAATAACTTTTGCTTTTGTATGTTTTGTAGTTTTGTATGCAATAGTATAATATATACTATGTAACCATCATACAAATTACCATCATACAAATTAATATTTATTTAAGTAAGTGTAATTCTCAAAAAAAAAAAAAAAGTAAAAAAAAAGAAAAAAATTATAATATCACAATGCTGAACCACATAGTTCAAAGTTCATCTAGATTACAAACTATTTCTGCGAGTACCAATGGCATAACATCTTTTCTTAATCTAAGAAAAAGAAATCCTTTCTATTACAATATAAATATAAACAATCATAAAGATTATGTTCAAAATGAGAATATCCAATGTAATAATATAAATGAACGAACTATCTCACTCGCTGCAAAACATTTACGTATATCAACACCATCACCATTATTAGAGTTTAAAACTTCTAAAACTTCTTCATTTCGAAGTGATTATGATTTCTTAAGTGCATTTGGTATTTTGAAATCTGTACCAAGTCCTTCTAACAAAATCTTTTCTAATAAAAAAAGGTATATTTTATTCAATCCTCCATCACCAAAATCAAATATACTTGACGAACAATATTATATTAACAAACATAAATTTGGTGATAAAAAAGCAAATAAAAATGATTTTATTATTATGCCTACTGTTTTTATTTCTGATTATATGAACGAGGATATGGAAATATATGAAGATGATGGTTAGCTGATAGTTGATATATAGTTTTTTTTATTTTAGATTATTACAGTACAAAGTCATAAACTTTTATATTATGTTAAGGAGCATTTTTTTTTCATTTTTCACTATATATTAATTATTATAGAACAAATAAATAAGTGATCCCAACGTTGATTGGCTGGTATCAAACCACGTGACTTCCATTATCTCATGTCCAAACGCTGCCGTATGTTGTTATTGATCAAATAATTTGATTAACTCTTTCTTGTTAACTTTTCCCATAGCATTCTTAGGTAAATCTTGAACGATTTTTAATAAACTAGGTATCTTATATTTAGCCAATCTATCTTTAAGAAATTCTTTTAATATATTTAGATCCATCATAACGTCCTAATAATCAAAAATTTTTAATTTAAACAATCAAATAAAATATTTTTATATATTTATATATTTTCCTTTAACACTTACCTTGTTTTTTAATACAATTATAGCACCAATTCTCTGTCCCCATTCTGGGTCTTCAACTCCTAAAACACTAATATCTAATATATTTGGATGTGACAATAATACCCTTTCAATTTCCAACGCAGAAATTTTATATCCACCAGATTTAATAATATCAACACTTTTTCTTCCAAGTATTTTATATACTTTTTCTTTTTCGGTTATGATTGCTGTGTCACCTGTTTTAAACCATCCGTCTTGTGTAAATTCTTTTTGTGTAGCTTCAGGTTTATTCCAATACCTATTAATAAAAAAAAAGTTTTAATAACATATTATAATTAAATATAAATAAAAATAATAAAAACTATTTGGCACTCTTACTCTTTAAATACAGTTTGTCCTTTGATCTGAATTTCGCCTGGTGTTTCGGTTAAATTGGTAACATCTTTATCATCTTCAGAAATTAATCTTACTTGAACATTTGGTAAGGGTAGTCCAACACATCCCTATAAATAATTCCAATAAATATGATTCATTAAATTATGAATTCGGTTGATATTTTTATTTATCTCATCACTGTCATCAACCAACTGACACGCTATTCATGCGATAAAAATTTTCAGATACCGACAAATACTTAACATCTCCTAAAAATACCCGCCACTTCCAAAATATCAGTTCAACTTACATGAACTTACAATTAATTATAAAGATATTTTATTTACCTCAAATCTTCTTTCTTTATCATATTCATGACTCAAAGCCATTCCTACTTCACTCATCCCATATCTTTCTAAAAGTATTTGTCCACCACTAATTTCTTTCCAAGTATTTCTAAGTGGAGTGGGTAAAGCAGCTGATCCCGAAATCATCAATCTAAATTGTGAACAAGATTCTGTAGCTTTAGGTTTCAATTCATCAGACATATTATCATTATAATATTGAATTAATTTTGCTGCAAAAATGAGATACAACAAAAGTTATTAAATTTTACATTATTAAAAATAATTTCAGAATAATAATGTACTTTACAATAAATTGTGGGAACAGCCATAAATAATGAAAGATTTCTTTCAGGACTCATCCATCTATTCCATACTTCAGCTGCATCAAATTTCGGTAACATTTCAACAGTAGCTCCTGCATAAATAGCACATGTAAGTGCCTAGATAAATATGTCACGTAAGATATACAGTATAAAACTTCTATTAACTAAATCAATTATAAAAATTTACTTTAACTTACATTTAATATTCCCTGAGTGAAATAAAATAAATTAAATAAATAAGATATTTTAAATAATTAAATTTAATCATCAAAAAGTACTTACGTGTAAATGATGTAAAGGTAATACGTGCAATATTCTATCTTTTTCGCTCCATCTCCAAGCTTCAATAAGAGATGAAACTTGAGCTTTTATATTTAAATGTGTCGACACGACTCCTTTTGGTTTCCCTATAACGTGTATATATATACCTATTTAGAAAATATACATATATATATAATTAATTAATTAATTTAAATAATTATTAATTACCTGTAGTTCCGCTGGTGTATATGATTAAAGCTTTACGTGATTCTTCCATAGGAATTAACGATGGAGCCTAAATGATTAGATAAATTCTATAATTAGTTTAACTAATTTATTAAAAAAGTTAATTATCTAAAAACTTTAATATCCACAGTTCTTGATTCCCAATATAAACTCTGTACCTTATAATTTATTCCATCAAAATCACTATATTTTTCATTTTTATCTCCAACTAATATAAGATCATTTATTCCCGCATCTTTGGTCACATCTTTTATTTTATCATAAAAATCTGGATGTGTAATAACTGTAGATGCTTGAGAATCCTTTAATACATATAAAAGTTCAGATTGAGGATGCGTTGTACCTAATAATAAAATTAAAAATAAGAAACACAAATAATTTAAATAATTTAAATAATTTTTTTTAAAAAAAAAGAAAATTGATAACTTACATAAAGGAACAGCAATTCCTCCAGCTGACCAAATTGACCATTGAGATACAACATAATCATATCCATTTGGACATAAAAATGCTACACATTTCTCATTTAAAGTTTGTTTAAAAGATTTTTTTAATAAATTATTTCTAAATGATGATATATCAGAAACCAAATTTTGGTAAGAATGAGAAGTATTTGATTTTACATCAACAATAACAGGTTTTTGCAAAGATTGTGTTTCTGCATGTTTAAGAAGTTTTGTAAATAATGGAAGTGAAGGTAAATCTATTTCCCCGAGAGATAAAAAAACGAGAAAAGATTAGAACTAAACAAAAAAAAATAAAACAAAACTAAATAAAATATCGATAACTTACAATTATTGTTTTGACCTGAGGTGTAAAATCTACAATATTTTGGAATTAGGGAAGAAAGGAATTTATTATAATATTTATTATAATAATTGTTAGAATAATGAATAATCATGATTAAGGCGTGGAAAAAAAAATAATTAGATATCAAATATTATTGCATATGGTTAAGTGGCGCAATCATATGACTCTTGATAATAGAATATATCATAATGTCATAGTCGTATTGAAATCGTTTATACATTCATTATTATACAATTTTTTTAACTAAATTTCGCTAATAAATTCATTCATTTTCATTTTCTTTTTCCAAACAATCTTCTCTCTCTACTTCACAGAAATTGAAAAAATCATTCTTTTATAATGTTGGATTATTTACCCAATGAACTTATTATTGAAACATTCACATATGTATTATATTCTACAAGGTATGAAGTAAATTAAGATTTTTTTAATTTTATTAACAAAAATTAATTAATTTTTTTGCAAAAAAGTTATAAAGAACTTGCAAATTTAAGAAGGACAAACAAACGATGGAGAGATTGTATAAATTTTGTAATACGAAATGAAATAATAGCAACATATGGATTAGGAAAGAAATGGTGGTGTTGGGTAAGTATCAAATTAATTTTAATTTTTCTTTGATCATAAAAAAAAAACAAAACATTTTTAATTAATTTTATATTATTTGACAAGGTTAAAATATTGTATTCTGGCGAAGGGGGATTTTATACACATAATAATCCAGTATCATTTGATTGCATAGATAATACATTTTGTTTTAAAGTATCAGAAAAATTATTTTATCCCAGAAAAATTCGAAAAATTGCGGTAGAATTTTGTAATAATAAAGTTTATTATTGTTCAGAAATTATTATTAAAGTAAATAACATAAAGAATAAACAAGTTCATAAGAATGATTCTGGAAGTGTACATTTTGTTAATAATAAAGAGATTGGAGAGATTAAATTGGATTATATTAAGGTCAAAGATAATATTTTGTTTAGTAGAGTTAGATTATAAAATTATTGTTGTAAATCACGTGTATTTTAGTTTATTATGTAAATTCCTCGTGACAATTGAATCAATATTACGCCTAACTTAGTACCTATAAATTTTTAATTAGATTAAATTAACATAAGATCAACATTAATAAATCCAAATATAATAAATGAATAAATTACCTTTCACAAAAAAAAAAAAAGTTTTTTTTACGATCTTTTTTTTTTTATTTTTAAACTTTAATTGTGCATAAAAACATTTCATTTCGGAAAATTTTTTCTCGAACGATCTATATTTGATATAAATAGAAAAAGTTCTTTACTTTAAAGAGAAGAATAATAAAAATTTTTATGTTATTTATGATCAAATAATTCGATTATTTATTTATTTATTTTCTCCCTTTTTTTGGATAGATAATGTCTCAACAAACAAATTCATCATCATCTAATGCACAATCACAAATTAAATATGAATCTTTAAATCGTAGAATTATAAGAAAATTTAAGGAACAACCATTAATTCCACTTGGTATTATAATATTTATTTCTTATTATTATATTATTATGTTATAATTTATTTACTTAAATTGAATGATTTAGGAATGTTTGCAACAGTATTTGCATTAGTTGGCGCAACAATAGGTTTTACTAGAGGAGATTCAACTACTATGCAACGATTTTTAAGATTTAGAGTAGCAGCTCAAGGATTTACTGTTGTAGCATTAGCTGGCGCTCCAGTTTATTATCAAATTAATCGTTATATTAAAAAGAATCAAAATTAGTTGAGGGAAGGATGTGTTTTTGGACTATATGACTAGGAGATTATATTATTTTTTGTATAATCAAAAAATTTTTTTATTTTTTATTAAATATTCCGTTAGATATGTCATATACATGTGGCGCAATACATTAATTTATATTATAAACTGACCGCACACTCAGCGAGATTGTAAAGGGGGCGGTGTAAGAAAAACAAAGTAATAACAAATACGCCATCAGGAATGAATCCACCAATCAACAATCGAATAAATTTTAGTGGATGGGTCGTCAAATTAAATTCTTTAAAATTCTCAAAATTCTTTCTTCAAATTCCCTTGATAAATTTTAATAACTATTTCTTTTTTTTTTTCTTTCCATAATAAATCAATTTGATCCGATTTATTATGAGAATAATTCAATTAAAAAAAGAAAAATAATTATTTTCCAGCACAAATCAAAATAAAAGCATATAATCATATCGATAAAGAGTTATAAGAATTATGAATTTCAAAATTCCAAAATTCGAAAATTTGAAGATTCCATGATCCTACTGTTCAAATTCCGATCTCAACCGGAAAGGTTATGAAAAGTTATGTAATATGGATCATCCATTCAGTACTATTTATAGTATTAATAAATTAGAAACATCTCTTCGAAATAATTTTTTTCTTTTTAGAAATAATAAATGCTTATAGGGGTAAAATAAAATTCAAACGCGACTGGACAGACTATAACATGCTTTTTTTTTTAATATTTACCTAATACATATAACAATAGTTTATTTAATCTTTTTTTTTTTTTTTAATAATATTATGATATGATTAATGACATTCTTATTACGTCAGTATCATTTTTGTAACTATTTTAGGTTGGAGGGCTGTAATTTTATTTAAATAATATTTAATTGTTAAAGCCATGAATACAATGAAAAAACAATAATCTTGCGCATTTTCGGTTAACTTCAAATTAAAATTATTTGATCATTATTTATCTTGCGCCACGATAGGGATTAATTCATACCATTTATATAAAACATATATATTAAATAAGGTGTTTTTCTCGTTTGGAATCTCGCGAAAAAAAAAATTTTAATTTTTTTTTTTCCAAATTCGAATAAATAATAACAAATAATAATATTAATTATTAATAATAATTTATTAAATTAAATTATATTTCTCTTTAATAATGGAAAAGGAAATGGAAATGGAAGTACCTTTAATTATTGTAGAACCAAATGATGAAAATATAGGAATTAACTTACAAAGATCATCACGAGGCTTTGAAAATTATTATTTGAATAATAATTTACCTCCACATAATTCAAAAAAAATTACAAAAATTGTTTGTTCATCAGATACAAATTACGTTGTCACGTTTAGTGAAGAAGATAAATCAATTCATGGTTGGCCTATTCATGATGATGATTTTGAAGATGAAAAAGAAGGGAAAAGTGGGAAAGAAATACGTTATAATTCTAGATTTCAGAAAGAAGAATTATCTGATTTGTTAATGGTTAGTAACGATAGATACGTTTTAGTTAGGATTTCTAAAAAGGAGCAAGATGAATTCAGTAAGTTATAAAATATTATGATGAATTTTATATTTTTATTCTATTTTTTTTTTACGATTTTATTTATACACTTTTACCCTTTTTTACCTTTTTTACCCTTTTTTTACCCTTTTTTACCCTTTTTTCAGGAATCGTTAAATTGGATGAAAAAGAAAATGAGATATTTTATGTTAAAGGAAATCCTGCTTATGATCAAGGAACGTTCATATCTTCAAATAATGATTTTTTTATCATTTACAAAAAAGAATTGGAGGCTTACGTTTATCATACCAGTCAAGTTATTGTTAATAAACGTGAAACGAATAATGAATATAATAGAGATATTACCACCATTTGGCAAATAAAATCAAAGTATAAATTCGTATTTCCTCAACAATTTTGGCAAAAAGAAATAAGACCACCCATAGGATTTTTTTTAACACCTGAAAAACTATTTTTAACATATAAAGGATCAAATATATTGTCACAATGGGATTTATCTACAATGACATTTGAAAAACAATATTTATTAGAATTAAATAAAAGGAATATACATCCTGCCGCTAAAGTAGATGATGATATTTTTGAACTTAAACAGACTATGGTTGTTGATGGTTCCAAAAAAAATATTATGGCCATTCATGGTTATAGTACATTTAATTATGAACATCAAATTTTAGTTTATAGTATGGTGACGGAATTTAAAATTTCGTCATATACAAGTAAGTATTTTCATATAAAATAATGTTATATTTTATATTTTATATTTTATATAATATAATTCCTTATTTTTTTACTCTTATAGTACCTTCGGAGAATTCAACTTCGAATATCTCAATTGTTGGCACGAGTAAGAATGATGGAGGTTTATTAATTTATGGATTTAATGCCGAAGGGAAACCAGAATATTTTTTACATGATCTCAATGACCTTGACTTTTGCGAAAATGCTGAAACGATTTCTAGTATTATACCAGATCAAGTAGATGCTCAATTGGTCGTTAATAAGGAATTAAGTGATAAAATCGTTATCGCAAAAGATAGTAAATTAATAGTTCACAATATCAGCGAGGAAGAATTGAAAATGTTACGAGATAAATTGAAATTAAAAAAATTAAAAAAAGATCAATCTGATAAAGATTTTAAATATTATCCTTATCCTTATCCTTCGTCTATTGTAAAAACAATATTAGAAATGCTTGAAGGTTTAGATTGGAATAGATCTGCCGATCTTCCAGAAGAGTACACGTGCAAAGAATTAGATAGTATTAAATGGAGCGTTAATCATTGGAAAAAAACGGGGAAAACTGCTATTAAAGTGTCAGAATTGATATATGTTGATAATGAATCTGGTAAAAAATTATGTGAATGGAAAGAACTTGATGAATTTAAATATTTTCCGCCTAGAGAAATTTTTGTTTTTGCATGTAAATGTATTGAAAATGGAGATTTAATTATGATCACAAAACAAGGAATTAGAATTTTTACAATTATTCAACCTTCAAAGAAAATTAAAATGAGATACTTTTGGGATAATGATCGTTGGAGAGAAATTTGGAAATCTTCAAAGAAACTTGAAAAACCTTTTGATTTTGATCAAGTAAAAGTTGAATTGTCTCGAAGACGTAATAAACTTCCTCCTCTAGATATTACTAGATTAATTGAATTATATGAAACCTTTTATGTAGAAAATAATTATAGAATTTGGCCTTTTAAAGATTTATTAAGAAATTACTTACAAGATACTACAACACTCGCAAAATATGGAAAAAAAATTTTATATAAGGCGATTGATGCGAAAAAAGGGAATATTGTAGAACTTATTTGTAATATGTGTTTAAACTTTCTTGAAAAAGATTCGGATAATTTTTATTTACTAAGAATTATCGTTAAATGTTTACCTAAATTACAACAAAATTATCCTGACATTGTAGCAGAATTTATGGCAAAATCCTCAATGATATTGGATCATCAATGTTTTATTGTTACTAATTCTGAGTATACTCTTATTCATGGTTATTCGAGGGATGTTATGATTTATGAAAAAAATACTTTTTGGGATCATTATCATCAAATTCAATTTTTTTATTATAAAATTTATAATATTATAAAAAATGTAATAGAAACAATATCAGGAGGAGAAGAAGAAGAAAAATTTGGTATTCCAGTAGTTGTATTTTTAATTCCTCTTTATAAATTTTCTAGTTTTTCAACAAATTTTGATTTATATCATGATATTTATAAACCGAAATCTAATGCTTTTGTTGATATGCATTATCCTGCTTTTTATAAAGAATGGAATGCTGAAGCTTTATTAAATTTTAAATGGCATACTTATGGAAAATATTATTATTACACTCATTGGGTTTGGTTTCTTATATATTTATTGATGTTTTCCATTGGTACGACTGCTTCCTCATCCGTTTTATCTGCGGGAATGAGAAATATTCTTCTTAGTGCCAGTATCATTATTGGATTTGTATTTTTCTCGTTCGAAATCAGAGATTTTTTTTGGAGGCCAAGAAAATATTTAAAGAATTTTTGGAATTTATTTGGTATGACAATTATTCTTATATTTTTTTCTTATATTTTTTTCATTATTTTTTGAAATGAGTATTAAAAATATAATTTTCTTTTTCTTTTTTTTAGATTGTGGGGCATATTTATTTCCAATAGTAACTTCAATGTATTGGTTAAAATATGGTAAACCACCTTTATGGTTACCAACATTTTCAAATTTATTAGTAGATTTAAAATTTTTATTATTTTTTAGAGTATTTGAATCATATGGTCGATATTTTGCTATTATGTTAGGAGTAGCAAAACATGTTTTCTCTTTTGTAATGATATTATTTATTATAATAATTAGTTTTGCTCACGCATTCTATATTTTATTAACTCCACAACAAGATGTTGACCTAAATTCACCAGTTATAAACAATGATAGGAATAACCCTTGGTTATTAACTGATCAATATTATCAAATTAACTCTGATGGAAGTTATAGTAAAAGTCCTGTACTCGTAAGACAACCTGATAGTTCTACTAATATGTTTGCTTGGCCTCAAACTTCTTTATTGGCTATGTATTTATTACTTACAGGTATTTGATATTTATTATTATTATATTTTATTATTGATTATTTTTATTATTATTGATTATTAATATATTTATTCATGTTTTTTTCTTTTTAGGGGATTCAAGTTCATTATCATCATTTCCTTATTTAGAACGTCATTCTTTGGCCCTTTTAACAATAACGTTTAGTTTTTTTACCGTTATTTATTTAATGAATTTATTTATTGGATTATTAAATAATGCTATTGAAGTAAATAATGATCATGCTAATTATTTAATTGAAAAATCTAGAGTATGTATTTATTTTTTTAAAAAAAAGGGTTTTTTAAAAAATTTTATCATCATTTATTATTATTATTATTAAGAAACATGTATTTAATCTTTAATTCTATTCTATTTAGATTATAGGAGAGATTGAATTATTTCATTTATTTCCACATCAAAGAAGATGGAGGACTTGGTTTCCTGATGTAATGTAAGTAAAAATTTATTTTAAAACCGTTTTTGTATATTTTTACATATTTTTACATATTATACATTTATTTATTTATTTATTTAACTTTTATTATTATTACTAGTTATTATGAAGTTCCAGTCGATGAAGTTAGGAAACAAATTCACCAATTAGATAGTACTGCACGATCATCATCAAATTACAGTCCTATAATAAGTTCAAGATTAAGAGATATAGTTGATGTTCCTAAATCTTATAATCAACAACAACAAGATTTATTAAGTGAATTTGAAGCTATAAATAGTTTCTTGAAAAAGATAAATGGTGAAGGAATTCACAGACAATTTAGTATTTCAAGCATAGGAAATACTTCCAAACTTTTCAAACCGGGAACACCTGGAACACGTGATATCAAAACTTATTTTAGTGATCCCGATGGAACCTACATTGATTAGATCAGTGATTTTTTTTTTTAATTAATAGATTTTTATTTTTTTTTTTTTTATTTATTTATTTTTAAAAAAGATACATTTTTGAAATAATCTTGCTACTCAAAGAAAAAATAATACTAAAATAAAAATTATTGTCTAGAAATAAAAGTTAAATAAAACATTTATCAATTATTTAATATACTGTATGTACATATTTAAATTAACTTGAATGAAATTTATTGTTTACAATTAATTTTTTTTTTTTTATGTTTATACTAATTCTAACATTGTTAATTAATGAAATGCGATAATAAAGTAGCAATTTTTATGATGAAAAACTTTCACTAGTAATTAATTACAATGTATTCATCGCACGATATTTATTATTTTAATATCAAAAAGTCCTCGATCAAAATATTGATTACTCCTTTCTAACCAATATCCTTAATCATAAATCCATGCCTTCAGTATTTGGAAATTCACCACTTGGACATAGTTCATCCAGCTTGCCATTAAATGCCTCCTATTTAATAATTAGGATTATAAGAATTATTAAGTATTAAGTAAACTGTGATAAAAAATTTTTAATGAATACATACCTGCATCTTGTCGGCATCAATAAAGACCTGTGATCCCTCTTCATTAAATGTTCTTGCATTATTAAACATGAGACTCCAGTCTTCTCGAAATTGTTTTACTGATTTATAATAATTGTTTTTGATTCTCTTTTTTATTGTATCCATAGCAATAGGTTTGGTAATTATTTGGTAATAAAATGGATAATCCTTCTTACTAGGAAGCACTAAAAATAAGAATGCACGTTGTCGAGGTTCACTATTGATATAATTTTTATAAGCGTTAATGAATAATGTAAATATTTAAATATAGTAACCAGCTTAGAATTACAATATATACAAACCCTTCAGAATCTTCTGTGAGACTTTCAACGGTAGAATAACACTGCATAAAGACTCGCTTCATTTGCTCCTGCTGTGATGAACCTTCTTGTGTATTATCATCATCATGAACTTTTTTGTTTGTTTTGCGTTTCTTCTGTCAAAGATAATAATATAATATTAGAATCGTCACACAAAAAATAAAAATATAAAATATAAAATATAAAATGAATAAATATACTATAATCGTCGTATTTACATTTTTAGGTTGATCTGAGGAACCGCCAAAATCAACGATTTCTATTCGCTTACTTTTACCCTTCTTTTTAGAAGACTTAGATAGTGTTGACTCGGATATATCGTCTGTAACATGTGTATCATCTTTACGTGGTCTTCCCCGTTTCTTTTTAAATTCCGATATTTCAACATTTGTTTCTTCATATTGTGTCGTTAACTGTTGTTGTTGTTGTTGTTGCGCAGGTTTCGGTGTTTCTTGGGTATGTGTTTTTTGATTTTTCTTTGCTAAACGGCGTTTCTTTGCTGCTTGTTTTTTGGCTATCATTTCATGAACATCTATATCATCATCTTGTATAGCCTATAACGTGACAATTTAAGAAAACTTCTTAATATTCATATTTTTTAATATCACCATATATTTAAAAATAGTAAACTTACGTTAACCCATTGATCTTCTGTTAATCCGTCATCATAGTGAACATCTCCTCTTGGTCTTTGTCCGCGACCATATTCAGTAGCGTCATCTTCAGGCTGAATTACGGTATCATACTCTTTCATGTAAACATTTGGTAATTCCTTTTCTTCTATTAATCTATCCGGGCGTTTTCCTCTTCCTCCTGATGCACGCCATTCGGCTTCTTCTTTAGCGGCTCTTTGAATATCCATTTCTTTGAATAATGTCAACTCACCATCATTTCGAGAAATGATTTCATTGAGCTCATCATCATCAAGTTCATCTTCCTCTTCTACATCATTTGCTTCATCATTATCTCCTTCTAAGAGTGATCGCTATGAATAAGTTCAAGATTTAATTAATTTATGAAAATATTATAAAATAACGATATTAATTATATAGTTGTACACACCAGGAATGCTTCCCGTTCTTCCGCTGTACTCTTATTATCAAATTTACCAGCCTGAATTACTTTACCATCGATATCAAGCTTATATTGTGCTCGTGCTAATATAGTTTCTTCAATTGACTTTTGAGAAATAAGCCGTAAAATGCGAACTTCCTTTGTCTGACCAATACGATGTGCACGATCTTGAGCTTGTAAATCCTGATGTGGATTCCTGAAATTATTAAAACATTAATTATATATAGATTATTAAAATAGGATATTAGAAGTATATTAAAATCCTACCAATCTGAATCGAAAATTATTACAGTATCCGCTGACTGCAAGTTCAAACCTAAACCACCCGCACGTGTACTTAACAAGAATACAAAATACTCGGAATCTACTGCATTAAATTCATTTAGCTTAATTGAGCGATCCTCGGCCTTAAATTTTAAAAAAAGTATTTTATTATTAATGATTCTAACGTTATATCGTTGAATGTTAGGTTAAATACCTTTGTTGTACCATCCAGACGAAGATATTTATAACCTCTATAATTAAGAAAATCTTCCATAATAGTCATTATAGCAGTCATTTGAAAGAAGATCAGTACCTAAAATTTTGGTACGATCCATAAATATACAAGTGTATGTCAGAACAAAATATTGTGTAAACAGATATTTAGTAAAAATAAAATATTTAATTACCCTATGACCTGTCTTTTCAAATTTTGGCAATATCCTGTCCAATAACTCAAACTTGCCCGAAACACGGTAAAGCAACTGATTATTAACTTTATAAGGATTTAAATCTGTCTCGACTTCTTCAAAAACAAATGGATGATTACATATTTTTCGCAATTGCATAATTGTATTATTAAGGCCCTTAATACCGGTTTTCCTAATTTAGGAAATTTTTTAAATAACCTTAATAATCTTTCATGCGAATAAAACTGATATGATGACTTACCCTTTTTCTCCAGTATTTACAAACAATACTCCATGCCTTTTCATTTGACTGTATAATTTCAGTTGCAAAGCTGAAAGCTTGCATTTCACTACTCGTTCAACTTTATCAGGTAATTCCGATTCTACATCCTTTTTCAAACGACGTAAAAGGAAAGGTCTTAAAACCTTGTGTAAACGTCTAATGATAAGCAATGACTCTTCTTCATTTAATGCTATTTTTTCTTGACCAACTATACCATTAGCGAATGGTGTATTAAACCACTCATCAAAACTCTTCACAGAGTCAAATATCTTCGGTAAAATAAAATTTAATAGCGACCACAGTTCAGGAAGGTTATTCTGTTAAATCATAAAATAGAGAAAATAAGTATTGTTGAATTGATCAAAAATATTATAAATAATTAAATGAACAAAAATCTTTTACCTGTAAAGGTGTTCCCGTCAGAATTAACCGATATCGACATTGATAATTATTTGTCAATATTATAGATAATTTCGAGTTGACATTTTTCATGCGGTGACCTTCGTCGATAATGACATATACCCAACGAATTTTACTTAAAATTGTTTTATCTTTTATAATATATTCATAAGTCGTTAGAAGAACTTGGAAGTTAACATGTTTAATGAATTGGTGTTGGAGTGCTTTTCGAACGTTCGGGGCTCCTTTATAAACACATTTTCTTACAGTAGGTGCCCATTTCTCAAATTCCATTGTCCAATTAGTTAAAGTGCTAATAAGATAATAAACATTGATCATGAATATTACTAAAACAAGAATAATAATTACAAACATACATATTTTCTCTTACTTACGACAAAGGAACAACAATCAAAAATGGACCATTTTGCTTTTTTCTCTCAATAAGATAAGTAACTAATGAAATAGTTTGAATAGTTTTTCCAAGACCCATTTCATCAGCAAGAATACCATTTAAACGATTATTATACAGTGAAATCATCCACTGAAGACCTTTAACTTGATATTCTTTGAGAGTACCACCTTCCATCATATTTGGTTGCTCGACCTCCTCATGAATTCTATGAGCAACGGCATAATAATCTATTTTTTTACCATTATGCTAACGCAAAAAAAAATGGGTGTATTTTTATTAGGTTGAAATTAACAGAAATACAAATTAACTTCATAAAATAAAATACAGCAACTTACTACAATTTCCACATTTTCATCATCATCCATTAATTCAATTTCACCCCTGACAGATGGATCATTATGCAATTCGTCGTTTTGTTGTGCGACAACAGCTTGAGCCAAGGAATCTAAATATGAATCTGTTTGTTTCAACAAATGCGTGATTCTTTTATCCTTGGTTTGATCAATAAGTTTAAGATAAGCTTCTTCATCATCATTTTTCAAGGCTTTAATACGTTCTTTGGAAATACGCTCCATTCTCTTCTGTTCTTCTTTCTCAATTTGTGAATGGAACGCCAAAACCATACGCCCAAATTTCATTTGTTTTAATTGATGTGTACGATGCCACGCCTGCATTTCATTACGATGATTAATAATACTTTGCAAGTAATCCAAATGTTTTTGTACTTGTTTACGTTGTCTTTCTTCTCTTTGCTGTTTCTCAAGTCTGTCAGTAATTCTTGCATCCCTAATAGATGATTTTTTCATTTTCTTATATGCAGTACGATCGGACGTTGATATTGGCGTAGATCTACCAATACTAATTACTTCTTGTCGAAGCTATAAAAAAAAAAAATTAATAATTAGATTTATATGGGGGAAACTTTTTATGAATTGTATAAAATCATACCTTCCGTTGTTTATGTAATACTTTTAACCCCTTATATTCTATTAATGCTCGCAGTTTATCTCCGTTTTTATATTCATTATTGTTAAAAAGTTCGAGTTCACGAATCCTTTGCTGAGCTACAAACTCTATACTTCGATTTCTTTCAGCAGCAATCTCCTGAGGATCAATACCAACGGGCATGATAGATGGTATCAGCATTCTTTGTTGACGTGATTCATGTGAAAATAATTGGAATGGTTTTAAATATGTGTGAGGATTTGTATAAGAATTAAACGGTATACTTGATCCTGTAGGATTTGGAGGAGAACTTATATCTGCGGATGATGTTGAAACAATTGAAGGTGCTTGCTGAGTATGATGATTATTAGATGATTCTACTATTTTTCCTGGTAATGATATTGATCCTACTATATCTTGTGCTGATATACCCTGTACTTGGCTTGGACTAAACATTGCTTTTTGTAATAATGGTGGCACAGGAAGAGCACGAGATATTAATTTGAATGCCAAAATCTGATATTTTAAGGACATTAGCTGATCAGCAGATAAAGGAGTCGGGGATACTTGTTGATTCTGAAGATTTTGTGTATTCATCGTTGATGTTAGTACTGTTGAATGAGTATTACCGGTGTCGACACTCTCGCCTCCATTAATACCACTACTACCGACAGAAGGAACAGCCGCTATATTCTGTTGTTGTTGTTGCTGTTGTTGCTGTTGTTGTAGTGCTCTTAAATTGTGAAAGGTTTGAACAGCTTGAGCAAATTCAGGGTTATTAGCCTCCGTATCGCCACGCGCTTGCATAGTTTTAATTTTCTGAAGATAACATAGGCAGAATTAGCAACATATTTAAATAATATATCGTAAAGTGTAACATTAAATTTTTACACGAAAATATTTTATTTATTTGTATAATTGTCATTAATAAAAAAATAATATTCTTAATATTTTTATTAATTATTATAAAATATCGTAACCAAAATATAATCTAAAAGTCACACAAGCTTTTTCCAGAAAAAAAAATAAAATAAAAAGCGAATAATTTTGTTCGAAAAGAGATGATCTGAAAACAGTTCATCTTAAACTAATAAAAAAACTTACCGCTAGTAAGGTTTGTATGTTTTGTATGTTTTGTATGTTTTCGCGAGTGAACTGACGACTGAGGTTGCCTGTAACACCGACAGAGTTGACCTGTTGACTAGGGTTCATTGGTTGTATGATATTAGATACTAGTAGGGAAAATGTGGGGAAAGTACTATAAAATACCGAACTGTTGAAAAATCAGGAATAAAATAATTATTCTATAAATAACAATAAAAAATGTCGATCGGTCATAAAAGGTCAAATTGATTTGTCAGCTAATTATAGTACTAGTACCAGTATGAAGTTTTCGCCGAACTCCGAGCTATCTTTCGATATCACTATTTAATATCATTGGTTGAAAAATGATTGACAAATTTAAATTTAGGTCGGATCTAAATATAAAATGGAACCTTGGAGTTGGGTCTGAATTCTGGAACACTTCTGGAACAAACTTCTTTTGGTATATCGGATTTTTTGATGAAACGGATGAGTCCGATCCAGCTGCGTAATTTGATTGAATTAGCAAAATTATGAAGATTTGTGCTACAAACAAGAGTGCCTCCATACATACAAACAGAAATTGGTAGATAAGAATCCGTTCGTTCAGTGTATTATTCTACGTGACGATATTCAAAAATCCAGCAATGCGTATTTCCTTTGCTTCGGATTACTAACAGTACAGTAAGGTTGAATCTACGAGTGCATTAACGTGAATTTTAGTTGTGCGAAATTGTGTGATGGAATTGTCGACTAATGTTACATCTTTTTTAATTGGAAGTACCTATTTGTCATTCGTGAAGTTACTATTGTTAGAAATTTGATAAAATTTTTTAAATGTAAAAAGGCAAAAAAAAAAAATATATAATGTAAAAATATATTATACTATTACTTTTATTACTGTATTTAGAAAAATTATTAATAAAATTTTGAATTTGAATTTTTATAGAACCCCTGAATACGAAATGGGATAATTCTCCTAATATATAAATATAATTATATACATTTTTGCCATTTTAATACTAGAATTTTTGAAAATTTAATCCAAATGCTTTATTTTAAAATTATATTAAATTATCTAAAAATCTGTTAAAATTATGTATGAAACTAAAATTAGATAATTTGACCTTGATTTTCAGTTAAATCGGATGTTAAATGATTATCTACAATTATTAAAAAAAAACAATAATGAAAGTATATTGAAATATTTAAGTATTTAGAATTAAAATTTGATAATTTATAGCTTATTTAAAAGCTTTAATTAAATAAATTGAAATGGTAATAAAATTTCACCCAAAATTTTTAAACAATTAGATTTATTTTATTAAAAAAATTCTAAATATATATATATATAAATATAAATATATATTTTATAAGTTATTGTAATTTGAAATTTATATTATTCTATAATAATTGTTTAAAGTCATATAATATAATGTAATTTTAATTATTTTAACTTTAACTTTTAAGCCTTTTAAACTAAAATATTTTAACTGAAATATTTTAATAACTATTAAGTCTTACTTTTAAATTTATATACTAAAGATTTTAATAATTTTATATAATTTTAATAAATTTTTTTTTTATTTTTTTTTTATAATTTATTAAATAAAAATATAAAGTATATAAAAATATATGTATAATAATAGCTAAATATTTATAATTTTAATTAAATTATAAAAATCTAATATTTATAAATTACATAATTTATATAAATATAATAAAAGATTTTAATTTAATAATTATATAATATATATAAATTTTTTAATAAGTTTATATTTTTATAATAAAATAAATAAATTAATTAAAATTACTCAAAATACAGTCACCTCTCTCTACAGCGAACTTTGATATAGCGAATAATACAATATAACAGATTATCTGTGTGGTACTAATTTTAAATATGAAAAAAACCTTGATATAATGAAGTTTACTATTTATTTACTGTATAACATAGTATGAAGTAAAGTATATAAATTGTCATATACAAAATGAACCTTTTTATAACAAATTTTTTTTTGGTAAAATAAAGATTTTATTTATTAAATTTCCTTTTAAAGCAAATTTGCACTACACATTTACCACATATTTTGCCCATATTGTTTTTATACTGAAATATTAATAAAACACTTTCATCTTTAAAATCGGTGGCTGAAAACCCCATCTTTACAAAAAAATAAAAAAGAAAGAATGTTAGTAAAACGTTCTTATACAAAATTTCTACTAAATACAATATCCCTAAGTTCCACCTACCTTTGAAATCGCCTAGAAGCCGTGGCTAAATAGTCCGTTCCTACAAAAATAAAAAAAAAATGTTAGAAAAATGTTCTTATATTAAATTACTAAATACAATACTCCCAAGTTCCATCCACCTTTAAATCGCCTAGAAGTCATAACCAAATGGTCCGTTCCTATAAAAATAAAAAAAAGAACGTTAGCAAAATGTTCTTATACTAAATTACTAACTGAAATACAATAGTACTCCCAAGTCCCACCTACCATTGAAATCGCCTAGGAGCCATAGCCAAATAGTCTGTTCCTACAAAAATAAAAAAAAAGAACATTAGCAAAACATTCTTATATTAAATTACTAAATACAATAGTACTTCCAAGTCCCACCCACCTTTGAAATCATAAAAGCCATGGCCAAATGATCTGTTCCTACAAAAATAAAAAAAAATTAGTTTATAAATTTTTTTTTATAAATGAAAATTGATTGGAAATAGATTGGCAAATCATATAAATTACATGATCCATATATTCAATATGCCCATACTAAAAAATTCGTTATACTATACCGAATAATTCATTATAGCATTAACAAATTTGCTTATAATAAAGCCCTGATTAGCTAGGATAGAGAGTTCATTATATCGAAAGGGGACTGTATATATAATTTTATAAAAAATATAATATTAGCATTTTATTAAAATCTTTATTTAAATTTTAATTTATAATTTATTTATAATTTTAAAGTTATTTGAATCTTTGTTTTTTTTATTAATTTATATAATTATATTATATTTTAAAAAAAAAAATTATATTTAAATATAAAAAATTATAAAAAAAGTTTAAATTCTAATAATTTAATTTTACTAAACNTTTTTTTTGCAAGGTAGTGCAATTTGTGAATTTATTAATTATATAAAAGACAGAAAGTTCCATTACATGTATAATTAATTTGTTTAAAACTCCAAACCGGTCCCCCATTCATAAGATTGCTCCTGTATCCTACCATCACCTAATATGAAATTCACCTATATCCTCCTATAGTAGCTATCAGATTATATAGGAACATCATCATCATATGGCTTTAGTAAAAGCTTTCACTACTCTCTAAACAAAAAGAAGAACTATATTTGTATTTATATAATTTGAGATTATTATATACCTTCCAAATTACCTTATTTTTATCTTTAACAAATTAATTTATATATTGTCTTGTTTTTTCTAAAGCAACTGACCACTGTTCACTACATTTGAAAATTTTCCTTCCCTTCAGGTCATATGTACCATCTTCCACTTGCTAGGTTGGAATTCTTTCATATACAATATGTTGTTGTGCTGGTATTTTTTTCCTTAAATCTTGCTTTTTAATTCCTTTTGTACGTTCCCAATCTGCAACTATGTCACAACGTGGTTGCCAAATAACCTTATAAAATTCAGTAATAAACATTTCTAAAAAAGGGAAGTAATTGTTAGTGTAGCTTTTTCTGATTTAACAATAGACCTGAATTCTCTATATCTTCCTTTTGGGAAAAAATTCCTTAACATTAGATGTACAAATGGGATAGGTAACTCTTGATTAAAACCTGTTATATGAACAAAGAAATTTCTATTCTATAAATATAATTGTTGTGTGTCTTCTTGATTTAGTTGAATTTTACTAAACTTTTTTTTATTAATATATAAAATAAAAAAATATGTAAATAATAAAAATTACAAATATATGCAAATTCATATTTGAATTAATAAATGAATAGATATTAGCTAAATTTCAATATGTTCATTTATTATCAATAAATTTTAATAATATAAGTTCTTGCATATTATCTAAATATTTAAATTTTAAATATTAAGAATTAAAAAAAAATTTTTAATAAAAAAATAGGTTTATTTTAATATATAATTTTATATTAGTAATAGGTTAATAAAAAAATAAATTTTACTGTTATCATATCTGTCATTAGTACACCAATGGCCAAAAAGTCACGTGAAATTGAAATTTTTTACTAGCAAATGTATAAAGAATTAGTGCAGTAGTGGTTTTTATTGAAATTTTTATTGATTAAAATTTTCATATCCACAATTACGCCCATAACCTTTCTTGGAGTAAATCACATTTGAAAATATCCATGTATGTGCTAGTCAATTTAGTCTGATATCTTCAGGTATTCATTTTATTTTTACAACCCTTCAATTAAATATCGAATAATTGAATATGTTTTATATATACTTTTTTCTTTGACCATTAAAAAAATTCATTAGAAAAATACATTTTTTTTTTAAAATATAATTTACAATTTTTTTTTGCTTTATTCACAATTAAAATAAAAAATAAAAATAAAATACAAGAGAAAACTTTATTATAATATATATAAGAAGAAAATAAAAAAGAAAATAAAAGAAAAGTAAAAAGGGGTATATAAAAAAAAAAGATTAAGCTTAGAAAAAAATTACCTTAATAACATAAAAGTGGGGGTGTTTTAAAAAAAGTGTATTTTCAAAGAAAACGAGATATTGTTAAAAAAAAATAAGGGGTAATAAAAAAAAGGAAAAGAAACATCAAGTATCAAAAATGTTATATGAGAGAATATTATTTTTTTCTTTTTGTTGACGGATCTGCTTTTTTTTAAGATCTCTCACATTAACGATTATCATTAATGACGATGTTTCGATTAAAAGGGAAGAAATAAAATTAAACAAAAACTTAAAGCCCATAAAACCTAAAGAAATTAATGTCCTATTCAAATATTAAACTTTCATTAAGATACAAAATAAATACAAAGATACAAATATATTTGTACCGAAAAAAGAAATCCGAATCAATCTTTAACCCAAATTAAAGTAATAATTAAAAGAAGAATGTTCGATGTAATTCAAAGAAAATAATGGAAAGAAAATTAAAAGTACTAAAGTACAAAAAATAAATAAACTAGTAAATAAACGATGAAAAAAATTATTTTTAAAATTTACGAAAAATAAACGCGTTAGAAAAAAAAAAATGTTTGTGTTCGGGAGTAAATACGAATTATAAAGTTTTTTTTTATATTAATTGGTATTTAAAAAAATATTTTATATCGAAGTCGATTTTATCCGTCGAAAAAAAAGGGGGGGAAGGAAAAAATAATTGATGCAATGTTTAAGAAGCTCCGAAGAAAGAAGCTAAACTTGTAGATAATCTTTTTTCAGATTTAGATTTTTGTTGGGAAGGATTTTCTTCAACAGAAATAGATTGAAAAATATCATCAACGTCATCTAAACTACCAAAACCATTCAACATACTGTTTAATTCTTCTAATTGAGTGCTCATTTGATCCCTTGCTCTTTCACTTTCAACCAATAACATTTTGACATGTTTCAACATTTTTTCTAGTTCATCACATTTTTTTGCTGTCGGACAATTTTCCCCTGTACAAGTAGAAGTGAAGAAATCACCATCACTACTAGATTTTGATCCGTTTGGTGTTACAAAGAAATTTAAGAAGGATACCCTTCTTGATTTTGGAGTATTAGAGGCCGCGATAATTTCTTCTATTTCTTCCATTGTTGTGACCCATTCATTATTTCCCATATAATCAGGTTCATATTGTCTTAATCTTGTTTCAACATTTTCCAACTCTTTTTTCAATTTTTCATTTTCTCTATTAGAACGAATATGTTCAATTCGATTATGTTTAATAGCTTTAATCTCTTCTTTTAATGAATTTTGTTCATATAATGCTTGGGTTGATTCTTCATCTAATCTCTCAATTTCAGTACGTAAGAAAGCATTTTTATCTTGGATAAATTTTTGAATTTGATGAGAATTTTCCAAAGCATTTTCTAATTCACAATTTCTTTTTACCAATTCTTTATTTTCCAACATCAATTCAAATTTCTCTTGTTTAACTTGAATTAATTCTTCGGTAAGTGCTAATTCTAAAGAATATTGTTCCTTACTTTTTTCATTCCATTCTTTAACTAAACCAAACGCACCATCTTTTGATTCTGAATGAGCATTATTATTACTATTCATTAAGAGAGATAATTGATATTCTGTAAGAGAAGTAGCTGGAGCTGATAACCTTCTTGATTTCAATAATTCTTTATCTAATCCATCTTCATAACCTAATTTTGATCCTATATAATTCATGAAATTTTTCATTTGATCATAACCATCTTTTTGATCCGGATTTGGTGTGATCGGTGAAGCGATTCTAGTACTTCTTCCAGATTCAAATCCATCATCATTATTCAATGTCATTGAAGAATCTATTGACATTCTCTTATTTTCCTTTTCCATTCCTCTTAATCGACTATTTAATGCATCAACTTCATTCACCAAATCAATCTTTTCCATTTTAATACCAACCAATTGCTCTGTTATTTCCGCATGTTCTTTTTGTAAATGTGAATAGGCTGTTACCAAATCTTCAATTTGTTGATGTAACACTCCCGTACTAGCATCATTTGAGACGAAATTTGGTGCTGGTGTAACTGATGTTGGAGCTTCACTATCGGATGATGTGGAGAAATCACTTGATGTACTGGAACTTGAGTTTGATCTGGTTAAATTTTGCATTGTAGCAACCGAATGTCTAGAGTTTGGTAATGATGGATTAAGTGACCATCGGTTATCACCAGAACGTTTCTCTCTTTTCTTTGAATCATCTTTCTTTTTATCTTTCTTTGATCGATCAAATCTTCCATTAAATCTAACAGCGACCAATTCTTCGGCACGTTTCTTTTGATCTTCCATATCATGTACGTAAGAATCTGACAATTCATCCAATTTACCTTTAGTAATAACAGAACTTAATTCCATGGCATCTTTAATTAATCCAGTTGGTTCATTATTATAAGTTTCATATAATCTTGAAGTCAAGAAATCCAACAAATCTTCAAATTCTCCAAAACTCAATAATTTTTCTTCATTCTTTTTCAATAACGCTATAGCAACTCTCATTATGGTTTCAGGTGCACCTTCAGCAAATACTACATCATATATTCTAAATACCAAAGGAAGAGGATATGTATAAGCGAATAATGAAAGGAACCATTGTGACGCGTACATAGCAGATTGAATTCCATGAAGATGGAAATGAGAATGTAATTTTGGAAGGATTTGTGAGAGAAGACCAGAGAATTGGTAGAGTCTTTGTTGAAGACCTTCCATATTCAAAGTAAACATTGTACGCATATCGTATGTTTCCATCAATCTATAAAGGAAAATTTTGCGTGGAACGCGGATTAGAAATAAGCAAAAATGAAGATAATGAGTAGAGTACACGTAAAAGTCGTAAGACCTTTAACCTACCTAACAAATACACAGAAAGCTTGAGTTTCAGACATCTACAAAAAAGTTAACGTAAGTCACGAAAAAGTTTTAATTAACGTCATGCTAAATCACGTTGAATCACGTAAATCACGTGAATAGAAATTAAACTTACATTCATCAATAAAGGACCGACCAAGAATCCAAGACCTTGACAATAACCAACTAAAGGATCATACAAACTATAAGCTCTCAAGACATTCCAAAGCATAGTTTGACCATGACCATTCTCCTCTTTAAATAATTCCACACCAGGAAAAGTTCTAGCTAAATCACGTTCAATAATTTTATCGTAAGGAGAAGATTCCGATAATAATTGACTATACATAGTTTCCAAATAAGTTGAAGAAGCTTGACTCATAGATTGCCAAACTAAACCTCTTAATTTCGAAGGTAAACCTTGTTGCAATTTAGCAGCTAATAAATGAGGTAATTTTGTCGCTACAGCAGTATAATCTTGAATTAAAGCAGTCCAAAAATCCCAATCAATTTTCTTTGTTTCTTCATCATTTGAATCACGAAGTTTCTTTTTCTTTTTAGTAATAGTGTTGGAAGGGTTGGAGGAGGTAGGATTTGCATCATCTGATGTATCAGTATCAACATCAGCCTCCGGAGTCTTAATATCATTGATTAAAGATTGTACAACATCCATGTTAGCCTTAAGTACGTTGGATTCAATGCAAACTGATTTTGGATCGTTGTCCAACATATCATTTTGTCTTTCAAGGCGGGCTAATAAAAATTGAGTAGAATCCTAAAAAAAAAAAAAAAAAATTTATTTAATTTTTTATATTTTAATATTACACATATATATGATTATAATTACCTGAGGTGGCAATTGAGAATTTTGTTGTTCTAATCTAGCCAATAATTCCTTATTTAATTCAGCTTTAGGTAAAGAAGACAATGTTGAAGTTTTCTTCTTTGCAACACCACGATGCGATTTTGAAGCAAATAAAGGAGTTGGTTTCTTTGATGACTTTGATGAAGTAACATTTGAAGAATCATCAGCAGAATTTTCTTTGACAGAAGATTTTGATTGAAAAGATTCAGATTTTCTTAATTCAATTATTTTTGGAGACACGAGAGGAGGAGAAATAACAGTATTTGGAGAACCTTTTGTTGAAGAATTTTTAACGGAAGAATCTTTATCGGAAGAATTTTTAACGGAAAAATCTTTAGCGGAAGAATCTTTAACGGAAGAATCTTTACTAGAAGAATCTTTACCGGAAGAATCTTTTGAAGAAATTTGCTGAGAAGTGGGACGATTATTTTTAAAAGCCATATTTAATTTTGGAGGTTTCTTATTTACTAAATTATCAGTACCAGGTTCATCACGAGAAATCGAAGAAATCGGTCCACTTTTTGATTTTTTCATTAAAGTATTTGATTGAACACTACTTTTAGTTCTATTTGAAGAAGTAGGACCACTAATTGATTTTTTTCTTTCAATGTTACGAGATACATCTCTTGATAAGATTGGAGATTTTGGTTTATTATTATTATTGCTTGATAAATTTGAGGTAACTATATTATTAGGTGAATTATTCTTCTTGATTTTATTTGAAGTAGATTTTGGACGAGATGATTTATTGGTTGGAGTATCACGTCCGACAATATTTTTATTTGATTCCATGGTTTTTATTAATTATCAGATGAATTATTCAAAGTTGAAAAAATTTGATGTATATTCTTTCTTTCAGTTGAAAGTATTATTATTTACAAAAAGTGATCTTTGAGAAATCAAATTTTATTTTTTTATTCTCGAGGAGGAGAGTAAAATAATAATATAATAATGATGACAATAATAATATTATATTTCTCTCTCTAAAAAAAAGGGGGAATTAAAAAAAAATAAAATAAAATAAAATAAAATAAATAAATAACAAATAATAATATAATAATAATAATAATAAATAATAAATAATAAATCCTTTTTATATTTGTTTTTTTTTTTAGATTGTAAGGAGGAAAAAAAGAAGAAAAAAAAATATATAAAAAAAAATTTTTTTTTTTTTTTGTTAGGACCGCGTAAAAAAGAGAAGAGTTTCCAAAAAAAAGGCGGGATTTTTTTCTACTCACTCGGTTTTTGAACTTAATTATATGCCCAATAACCAAAAAAGGGAATAAATTCCCGGTAGATTATTGGCTAAAAATTAAGGAGAGCATGTACAGTTCTTAGAGAGAAAGGTCAGTTTGTAATTTGGTATTACCTATTTACGACTTTCCTAATACATATCATGATACAAACATTATATAATTTTAATAGTTTCAAGAGTATGACAATTGACACAATTGACGGCAAAGTAAGCAAAATAAGCGGTATTTAGTATGAAAAAGAACCGAACATAACGGAAAATACCATGACTTTATTATAAGAACCAATTGTAGCAAGGTCAATAAACTGTATAATTTAATTGTTCAATTATTATGGAAGCTTTAAGACATAATAAAAAAATATATATATATATAAATATAAAGTATTTCGGGTAAATTAAATTATATATCTTAAATGGTAACTATAATAATTTATATAATTTATATTATGCATAATGAAGCATAAAATCTAATCTGGTCCTTTTGTTTATCAAAAAGTTTGATTGTTTAAAAAAAAAAAAAAAAAAAAAAAA